CTGAAGAAACTGTCACACAGTCAATACACAGGGATTATGGCTGCAGCAGACAGCAAGCTGCAGGTGATAACAGCTTAAAATGACCTCTACCCATTCCTGTCCATCACACCCTGCCTATAAGTTGCTCTGGCTTTGACCTTATGGTGCAGGTCCCAGCACGAGCACTGTGTTAGCCAAAACCTGAGCAGGAGTTGAGCAAGGAGTTATGAGGGGGCCCAGATTTCCATCACCCAACCCACTTTCTGACTTTCCCCTCCCAATGATCTGCCAGCCTTGCAGACAAAACTTGCTCCTGAGCCTTGCCGTGGTCCTCAGCACAGGCTTACTAACCTGCCTGTGGAGAAGGTGAATCCCTGTGCTACCAGTCCACATCCAGCTCCAGTGATAACCACAAGGTCTGCCTTCTGCCACCACTAACAGTCTCTCCTGTTGATTCCCTGCATCAGGCAACACGGTCCTCTGGCCTTCCTCTCTTACCACTTTCTTTCCCCTACATGACCCCACCAGGAATCTTCTCTTTGCATCATTTTCCTCAAAATTCAACTCAGCTTTTTAAATTGTGCCTTTAAGCACTAATTAAATCCCTCTCACCTGCACATGGAAACCTCTTGGCTTCTCTCAGGCACTGTCTTCCATTACAGTTGCTGTTCCAGTGTACATTAATGTATATATCACATTTCTACTCACTACCAGCTATCATGCAAGCACCAATATACATAACAATCCCTCTCCTTCCATCAGCACTCACAGTGTACTTCTGAATCTCCTCTGTCATAATGGGGCTATCAATTATAGCTTGAAGAAGCTCAGACACTCTTCCCACCCCCCTCTGATCTGGATATCCTCCTCCATTGCACTGTCACTCAGGTTCAGAAGCTAGCACCAGCAGCTTCTACTTCCTTCTCAGAGAAGATAAGGACAAACACGGAAGCAATATGCTGTGGAAAGGCAGTATGTAAGTCCCCAGCAGGGGAGAAAAGGGGGGGGGGGGGCAGGGGTGTCACCCATTTGTCAGAGCATTTCTTAATTAGTTTCAGTTTAAACCAATTATCCCTGGTAGTCCCAGTCACTAGAAAAGTCAATGCTCAGTCACATTCTCTGATTTTTTTCCCACAAATAAGATGCTGCTTGTGAAAGGTCACAGCTTGGTGATAAGCGAGCAACAGAGGCCTCAGGACTTGTCATGATTTCACCCTGCTTTGTTTAGCTGCAAGAGCAATTATCTAATGACCTGATATCTCCTACTGACTTTGTTTTAACCTTTTCTTTGCTTTATTTAATTACATGATTAAATGTTTGTTGTTATATGTACTTTTGGTAGCTAGTAGACAGTAATAGCAGGTAGTTATTCTCTGTAGAATGAACTTTTAATGACCCCAAAGTAAAATGTAATGTAAAGGTTTACTAGCATGGGATAACAGGGGACCCTGGCAGCACAGGTGCAGGATGATGTTGGAGGCCTCAAGCTATAAATAGCTCACCAGCAGTTAATTACTGGTCATCAAAGGGTACAACATTAGCAGTTGTAAGACAAATCTTAATGCAACAAAGGAGAACAAACATATGAGTATCCGACATATATAAAATGCATCACATTGCGAATTTTGTTCTATTGTGGAGTTATGGACCAATGGAGGAAGAACAAGGTGTGGACTGTATTAGTATGGCTGTAAAAATGACCTCTGGTGGATCATAGGGTGAGAAGGAAGAAATCTTCAGTTGTGCAAAGAGGAAGAGAAACTCTCCCACTGTCAGACTCTGCTTGGTGAAGGACAGGGGACACTGATGACAGATGTTGTTACACATGCCTCTGTCCCATATTGAAGGTATTGGAGGCTCAGTATAGTGTTGCATATAGAAGAAGACAAAGGGGAGTATGCTTGAAAGTTTATGTGTGTCAAGTTAACCTGATATAATTTGGACTATAAGTGTTAGTGTCGTTGTAATGAAAATACAAGTGTATAATTCAATCCTAATTATCTCAGCTAATAGTAATTATTTGATTACATTATTTTTAACAAGACTAGCAATACATTCTTTCTAGGTCTGCATGTAAGGTGTGTTTCCTTTGGATCATAACAAGATTTTGAAAGTGACAAATTGGTGGGAATTGAAGCAGCCTGCTCTTTATCTTGTACGCAACAAGCTGGTAACAACTGAGGTGTGCTTTCACGAGTGCACATACTTTTGTTTGTACTTGGCTTCTCTGAGCTGCTGGACAGTGGGATTTGTGGAGGCACAGGTTTGGTTTGGGACTTGTTCTTTCCCAGTCCATCTCTGAGATGTGATGATTGGGTTGAGGACACAAGTTCACACCACCCAAAAGAGACCCTTGGCTGAAGAGTTTGAACTCCAGTTATTTTCAGGTTCAGAGATCTTCTAGATCTGGGGTTGCCAATCTGACCTTATTATTGATTGAATATTTCCTATGTGTACCTATAGCGCTAACACAGCACTTACTGCTTCTTCAGTCAGCCAGGTTTTACCCATGGTTAATGGGACAGCCCATGCACAGGGTGATGAGTGACTGAAACCCTAGAGGCCATCCTTGTTTTGTCTTTAGTTTTTTTTGTGAGAAGCTCTGTACATAGCAAGCAGGCCGTGGATGCCAAGGGCTGTTGTCATCCCTGGCCTCTACTCCTAGTCATCACTTCTCTTTGCTGCAATATACCCCTCTATAAACTATCAATAAAAGTACTTCCTGTCTCCTGGTGGACATTATTCAGCTTAACAACTGTTAGTAAAATGCCTTTGGCTGAGAGAAACACACTTTAAAAGCGGGATGTAGAAGATAAGGTTTCATTAGGAGCGCACTGGCTACTTAATGGGCTCTCACATGTTAGAACAATTTCCAGGGGAATCTGGGGATTCTCTGTGCTGGCACAGTGATGTGCTCCTGGAAATTGTCACCTTCTTCAATGCATTAGGCAGTCAGTTGTTCAAACAGAAAGAAAACCAAAAGCAAATAGTTTAAGTGAGCCTGTAATTTTCTTAATGTTCATTCAAATAAAGGTAGAGTTTTCTCCTTAGAACCAAAAAAGAAAAAAAAAGGCACCTCCATTAGCATGGCTTAGAAGTGAATTTTTAACTTTCACAATTCAGAGGCAGCAAGTAGTGTCTATAGTGCTACTATGTAGAAGAAGTGATCAAAATACAGAGCATAACACACAAGTGCACACACGCTTTATTTTAAAATATTATTACACTGTAGTTATAAAAAGTCTGGAATGGAAAGCAGTCTCATATGCAAGTGCAAAACAAGAAGATAATTTTATTAAGAAGATGTAGACTCTGGTAGGACTGCTTAATTACTTAACAGAGATTGTCACCTTGCATTTACAACACGCTATTCAGTCCCTTGAGCCCCAGAGGACCTATATGGAGACTTTGACACTGCAGTTTCTAATGTGGTCACATAAGCTGTACAAAATGAGTGTGTGCAGATGCCTTAAGTGAGAGTGCCTAAAGGTCTGGTGTTCCTGGATCCAGGGGTACTCATTGAGCGTATCAGGTGGTATGAAACTTTGCTTTATTCCACATTCTTTATCAAAAAAGCAGCCTGCATTTCTACCCTCCCAGGACTTGCTTATTTTTAACAGTTGATCACAGGTTTTGTGCTAGGCCATGTGTGGCAAGAAGAGGAGCAGAAGGCAACTCATCTCCCTTGCTTTCTTACTAATGAGACCACAAAATGACACAGCCATCCACAGTACAATAAAGCCCCAATGTTTAATGAGTGTGAGGCTCCTTTTAACTGCTTTGGAAGCTCAGTTAGCTCACCTGTGCTGCTAGTACAGGACATACGCTGTCCGGTGGAGAAGAGTTGCCACAGCTTGTGGCATGTTCATCTTTGCCTCATGGAAAGAGATCTCTAGGATTTCATGGGAGATAAGAAGTGAACACACACACACACACCTACTGACCTAGCACAATGGGGTACATGGCTTAGGATGGAGTGGTGCCCTGCATGGAAGACTAAGGGAAACCAGAATGTCCTCAGTGGAGAAGCAATGCCTTGGGAGGCCCTACTGCACCTTACAGAGGAATATGCTGCAAGAAAGACGTGAAGTAGATCCATCTTGTGAAGTTTCTGGCTCAGGATACATCTTTATTCCTTTTCCATCTGAGCTTCTGTCCCTGGATATTCCTGAGGTTGCTCATATAACAGCACTTTGTTCTGCAGTAGCAGTGATTTCTGGAAACTTTCAGGCATGGTTTAATTTAAACTCATCCCCAAGTGTTTCACCTAAACTCACCCCCAGCTCCAGTGCAGGATATTTGCTTGTCTTGTGGGGCTGGCAGGAGAAGACCCTCAGGCTGTCCCCATCACTCCTCTCTCCTTCACCCCATTTAACAGCTGGCAGAGCGTGGACTGCTCTGGGCAACACACACACATGTGGGAAATGGGGCTGCAGGATGGGTTCAGGAGAGAAGAAAAGGCAGGAAAGCATGAAGAAATAATACATCATATACAAGAGATGTGACCAGGAAATGCAAGTTTGGTGTGAAGAACCCTGAGCAGGAGCATGAAAAACTCTGGATTTTCATCAAGCAAAAGAGAGGAACAGCGTATCAACAGCATAGGGGGTGGGGTGAGGGCATGAAATACCTAAGTGAGTATGTGTGGGTGTCTGCACATGTGGAAGACTAGGAGAAAGGCAGAGGGAAGCAGCAAGAGGAAACAAGGGGCTGGGAATATTCTGGAGCTAACATACCCTGCAAGATGCTTCCAGCAAGTGAGCTCTCCATGAAGTGGAAAATTATAACGTAGTAAGATAAAGCAGTCCCCTTAGCTAGAAATACCTGTTTTTATTGCAGCCTGAATGATCTACCATAGGGTTGTGTAATTCAATCTAAGAATTTATAACTCTGGGTTCTTCTTCAGTGAAATATCAGGCCTTAATTAAAACTAAAGTTCAGACTACTTTGGTGAATGAAGCTTTTCAGAGTCCCTTACAGCGCTAATGCAAAAGACTATAAATACAAGTGAACTATAGGAATAATATGGCCTAGAATTGTCTTTAATTACATGTATCTAATTTTAAATCATTCAGGTGCTTTTTCGTGCTCTCCCCAGTCTTACCAAGTTAGGTTTCTTTATGAAATTTTTGTTCAGCACAAGGATGACCAAAATAACAATAAGCAAATTTCCACCTCTTCCCCTTCCCTCCCCCCACCATGATATTTTGAAATATAGCTAAATGAGAGATGAAGGCAGCATCCTTGTTCATGGTTTCTGAACCTGGATGTTCAGCTCACCATACACATGCCTCAAAGCATTAGAATCCAGGCTTGCAATCAGCTTTCGTAAACCTGGTTGTCTTGGGACAGTTTTTACTTCCCAGATCAAGGTAGAGTTCGGTGGGATTTGCCTGTAGGAGAAGAGGAAAGTAACAATATTGTGGTCAACCAGCCAGTGCTCTCAGCCTGACCCAATGGAGAAACTGAATGTGGGCAGTATAACATGTCTCAATATTTTTATGTTTCATTCATTCCCATAAGTGTCCTATAAATTATTCCCTCCATCTTCTATTCCTCTCAGGACTGACTCTGTCAAAGCCTTTTCTAGCCTTTCCTCCGGGATAATTTTAAATTTCCAAAATGAATCCATTTTCTTCTGCCTCACTTCCTCTCACAGTCATTTTCAGAATAATTTTTATAGCTAACACATTTTTTTTCTACTTTATAATTCCATTTTACCTGTTATAGCCTGTGAGTGATTCTTTAAATAGTTAAATAAGTCCTTGTTATGAAGTGTCCACAGCATTCCTGTGCAAACTCAATGCAGCGCTGATGAGATGCTGAGCTCCTCTGCCAGCTCCTACCTTCAAACACCCTCCCACAGTTGTAACATCAGCAGATCTCACTGGCCGCTTCAGATGACTTCATGTCCACACAAACAGGTCAAAGTGTTTGTGGGAGTCCTGCTGTTATCAGTTACCCTTTTACATTATGTATGACTCTTAATAACTCATACTATAAAGCAACCATATTCTGCACTGTTCTTGATTTTCCATTTCTGCTACAACTAAGGTGTGCACAGAGAGCCTTAAATATTGGGTTTCTGTGTTTCCTCAGTGCTTTTGCTATGTTCTGTGTGAAAATTATGAAGGCTGATATTGATTGATTATGTTTGGGGGGTGTCAGGATACCACTGCTCTAAAGGAACCAACGGGGAAGATAGCATAGCGGGCAGCTATTTATAAAAATAAATGTTATTTTCTTCAGTGTTAAGAGGATTATGAATTTAGCCACTGTTTTCATCTCACATAGCTATGGTATTCCACAAAGAACCGATTAAAGTAAGCCTAAACTTCAGTCGCACTTTCATATTCTCATCTGGTAGGATCTGGCTCTCAGATTCCATGTCCTCTGACAGGGTCAGGACAAAAATGACAGCCCAGGCTTAGCACACTTGCCACAAGACAAGAAGCCTTAATTAGCTCTAAATGAGCTACCTAACCTGAATATTTTTTTCAGCGCATGTCTGCGCTTTCTAAAATGAGAGGTATTCTAGTTCCTTAGAGGTTAGCTTAAATACCTCCACATGGCACTGCATTGCATTTTGCATATACAGTCATAGGTAACCTGGGGCATGTATCCAGTTTTAGAAAAGAAAAAGCAGAGGAAGATCATATTTTTTTTATGCAGAGTGCTTCCAGCAAGTGTTTTCCCTCTTTTTGCCTTTTTTCTCAATAAGAGATATTCTGTTTCCCTTAGCTGGCCTGCCTCCTCCACCAAATGCCCACTAAAATGGTAGCATGATAAAGCAATGACTTCAATTGCTGCACAAAGTTAAATACCTTTTTAAAGTAAGAGTTCATGGGAATGATTTGCAAGGAACTATCTCTATGGAAAGTGGAGAAGATATACAAATCTGCTGTGCAGCAAGTTTCAATCTACTTTCTTGAGCGGTTGGGATGCACTCTCTGGATGAAGGCTTCCAGACCACATTTTCACAGTGCCCTAGTGAGACAGGGTAGCACTACCATCTCTGATTTTTAGTGCTATTATCTCTGCATATATGTATATATATATTTATATAAAAGTGTGTGTGTGCAGGAAGACAACACCTCCCCTGGGAAACCAAGCACACCTTTTCCTCTTTCTTTACTGTACTACTTCTAAAACAACTTGCTTTTCTCTACAAATGCTAAGACTAGCTGGGCTTTCCCACGTAGAAACACCTGAAATGATTTACCTGCTAGTGTGAAAGCATGCTTGGCTAAAATCCATTTAAGACTATTCATCACTGTCTGGTTAATTCTCATTTGTCATGCAAATACTATGACCCATGTAGGAATTGCTGCTGCCAAAGGCTTTTCCCTAAGTCATGCCCCTCATCTGTCTGAGGCCAATAGCTAAATATCATGTACTATTTTTATGAATGGTCAAGACTGAAGCCCCCAAGCCACTACATTTCCAGAATAATGTTGTATTAGCTGGATCCCACATACCTGTTTTGTGGAGTCACCCAAGTGATACAGAAAAGCTAACTTAAAAATACAGAGAGGTCAAAAGTCTCATCCCCACAAAGAATTGCAGAAGCCACATCCCATATGTGACAGTCCCTGATGGACAGGGAAGCAGTGGAAGAGTGAGGAAAAACTAGGCTAGGTTTAATTCTCTTTGCAAATGGAGTAAGGTCACCCTAACATGATTTTCCTGGGAGAGGATTCAGTGATGAATGGTTCTGAGTAATATGCAGAGTCATCACCACACTGGAACCATTTATCACTCTGAATGCATGGAGGCAAATTGTGATTATTATTTAAATAAACCACAACTGCCTGCTGCTCTGTCCTTTGTGTGTATAACCTGCACCTTCATTCATCTCAGATAACTTAAATCTTAAATGACTAAGCCGATCCATTTCCATTTTAAGTGATGACAAGGGCACTACTGAAAAGGGGAAACATGTTGACTTGAAAGAAAATGACATCTTTCTGTCAGTCCTTTTTATGCCCTATCTCCTGATGCACCTGTCAACTTCTGCATCTTTCAAGGTGAGAGCAGCCCATGGCAGCTTTTGGTTTGAGAAGGATGCAGAGCAGCGGGGGAGGCTGGCACAGCTAGGCAGCAATGAGGGCTACTGCTGCAACTTGTGTAACTCATGTGGACTGTGCTGAGTCATGCTCAGCAGCGTCTGTGACATGCCTTGTGCACAAAGCAAACATAGTATGATGCCCTTTCACAGTCATTTTTCTACCCAGCTCTACTCTGGAGACTGGTTTTGATCTGTTTTATCCCTGGCCCAGGTGCAATCAAACTCAGACCTCCCCTACTGCCTCTAGATGATGCTGACAATTTATGCAGCTGCTGAAGCACAGGCAATTTTTCAAACTCTTTTTGCACACACCCGGGGACCCTCAGCTCAGGTAATGATAGATGGTATTGCTTTGGCTGCCCAGGACTAAGCAATGGCTGCAAAATTTCCAGTTATCCTGGAACTGGCTAATGCTGACCTTATAACACTGAGCTCATAATGCTGAACTCAAATGGGAGGAGGGTCTAGGAAACAACGTGCTCTGAATATGGGTACCACTGTGTCAGCATGAGTTGAAACTCAGTATAATGAAGGTGGCTTTCCTTTTCATCAGACTTGGGATTACCCTGTGTTGAGAGCACACCTCTGTGCCAGGGCAGCCCTGTGCAGTGGTGCTATCAGGGGCAGAGGGGAGTTGTGTTATCACACAAGCTGCAGCCATCCCTCTGGGCTCTGCTGTGTCTGAGACACGTCTCGTGTCTTGACATAAGCTTGCAAAGATCATTTGAGGTATCTGAACGTCTTGTATAATCATGATTAACATGAGTAGAGAAAAGCCCTTTTGAAAGACAGCAGAAGACTTGATTTGCACATTCTGAGTGAGTGGCAGTAAACACTTCATGTGTAGAATATATCTGTCTTTCTTTCTGTGATGGAAGCTCTGTAGGTGCTACTGTCAAGTGGTAAAAATAACATAATACAGTGAAAAAGTAAACTCAGGCTGCATTAACAACTACCTACAACCACTACCCCTTCCTCCAATGTTGGTGCTGAACAGGTGAAATGCTCTCACAGTGTCTCTGCACGGTCTCTCTGGACAGCCTGACTTCTGACTATTGAGACCTACAGCTCCCCTGTGTATTGAATTTTGAAGTAAGGAGAGAGTGTCTGAATTGAATTACTCAGAGCAGCATTAGTTAAGTGCCTCTTGTGAGCTGCCTCCTGTGAGCAAGTAGGAGATGAACTCCCAGCTAGTTGTGCTTTCTTCCCTACCTGAACTCCTTTTTCATCGTTCTCAGCACGCCAGGTCCCTCGAGGCGAAGAGTGACATTCTCCAGGGTTTGTTTCAGAGGATTGGTGAATTCCACAGTCACAGACATTACTTTACCAGATACCAGCTCACCTTGGGTCTGCAAGACACAGAAAGGACAATGCTCCACAAGATAATAATAATTAAACGCCCCACGGTAAAATCTGTAGAATTAAATGCACAGTACTTGCAAGGAAGAGGAGGAAGGAGAATGAAGCACACAGCAAAACAGCATGAGGCAGAGAAATTCTAGTAAGATGCATGGGCCCATAGGTAACACTGCAGATATTTCTACACATTGCAGTCTTCCCTCAAGACACATAGTAGGTCAGGAGGCAGGCCCTCATTTCCATAGGAAGAAACAGAAGTCTACGTGCACAGTCCTGGAGCTGAGTGTCCAACTGAGGGCATGTCCAGCTGAGGAAGCCTCTCCTCCAGAGTCTGCTTCCCTCCCCAGGCTCCTCACCAGCACTGAAGTGCACGCTGTGCTCAGGACATCAGCTCCAGAAGAGAAGGGCAGGTATTATTATCCTAAATTAGAAACATGGGCTCACTTTGCTTGCAGCTCCAAAAAGTGTCGTGCCCATCTTCCCCAGCTGCCTCTTGTGTTCTGAAAGGTTTCTAACCCTGTTTGTGTGCTCTACATAGACCTGAGAGCCAATTGTCCTCCAAACCTCTTACATAACAAAACCCCAATACATTTTGTACTGTAAAATATTAAGCTGCGGGACTAATAAGCAGTGATCACATTGGCTTCCATATGTATATATGTGTACTGTACACAGCTGAAGGGATCTCTCTGTCCTTTCAGATCAGGGCAGTTGCCTAGAAAATACCTCCAAAAGAACACGTTTTTAAACACAGACTAGATGCATGGGAATTTTGTTTTGTTTTTTCCCTAGAAACACAACATTTCTCACAGTATAAAAAAGGCTTAGGCAAGGGTTTTCAACTTATGGTTGGCAGAACCCAGCTGGTCCATGAACTACTTTAAAGGGCATTGAGAAGTATCTTGTCAATAAATTTAAACTGCTCTGCTGGGGTCTGCAGCCCTACTGCAAATTTTTAAGGAGTATGACAGCTGCAAAAAAGCTGAAAAGGCTCTGGTCTAAGGGATCACTGCACCAAATACCAATATATTGACTGGAGCTAAGGATGAGCTACTCACAGCTGAGCTCTCAACAGCCACCTGCATTTGCAAAAAGACATCTGTGGCATTTTCAGAGTTCTAACTCAATCAGAGGTCTTACGTCCTCATATTTCAATTGTCCAGTTAAGATCACAATTAGATGTTCATCCTGAACATCCACAGATGCAACTGAGACCATGATATGTATTTGCTGAGCGTATTTTTGTAACCCAGTCTCAAGCTAAATTAGAATATGGTAATTCCCTCAACTGTTAACTCTGACAATCATCTTCGACCAATAGGGAAAGATCTGAAGATGAGGAGAAATAAGTTTTTCATACTACTTCTTTACTCTCACATTAAGAACTCCAGTCTGTCAGTCACATTCACTGAAGAAATCTGACAAGAAAACTAGTAGGATAAGCTTCCTCAGATTTCAGCAACAATAAAGTGAAGCTTCCTATATAAATAGTAATATATAGGTATATACATATGTGTATGCACACACGCTTCAAAGATCCAACCATTAAAATTTCAGCATATTATTGCACATCACGAAGAATTGAAGAAACAAACTCAGTTTTACTAGAAAACATGGTTATTGGACAGCGACCTATCCTATAAAGATCCTTTCTTTATAACAGCAGAGAGGATAAATGATTTTGAAGCTGAAATTGGAGATGCTGTATGAGATGTTCTGTTTAAGTATTGAATTGGAAGAACTTTCTACTTTTAAAATCAGTTTACTGAAAACAGGTATTTGAAGTAGAATTTATCTGTCTTGTTTACCTCCTCTCTAGAACACTCAGTAAACCAAAAAACTTTTGTTTGCAAATACAAAGAAGTCTAATCAGAGCATTATGGCGTTTCTGTAGACCACAAAATAGAGTGGGTTTTTCTTTTTGTAAACTTCACTTTAAGATCCCTTCTGACACAAATTGTTCTCTATGATTCTATGATTCACCGCAGTTTTGATCTACATTTAAAAAAAAAAACCTGACTTTTTCTGCAGCAGGCTGTGGTTACTACACAAATTATTATATGGTAACCTGAACATTGATTCAAATAATAAAGAGGAGAAAAAAAGCCTATAAACATATTTCTTTCAAGGTCCTGAATTTTAGGAAGCTGCATTCATGTTTATATAAAGCTTCCTGAACAGATGTTCTGATTATTTTGTTTTTTGAGTATTAGGAAAAAAAGCAGATCCAAATAGAGTCATTCAGAACGGATGAAGGCTCAGTGTTTTTGAGAATGAGGCAATTTATTTGGATGCTCAGTTATGACTGAGAACTCTAAATCTCAGTCCTGCCTTTGCCATACAACATAGGGTCTTTGTCCAATCATAAGTATTACATTTCTACAATTTCATAGGCACCATGCCTCATGCACAAATGCTTGAACTTCGAGGGAACTCCACTGGTAGTACATTCACAGCATGGTATCAAAGCACTGAAATCCTGAAAGCATTGTCTAAAATCAATGCTGCCAGTCCAAGTTTAGAGAAACTTTCCACAACACCTGCAGGAGCTTTGCAAGAAAATTCACCTCCCTAGCTTCATTCTTCAGCAGGAGGCCTCTGTGCTGTGCTGCTTTAAATATAAGACTTCTGAAGTACTTAAAGACTTGAGTGACTGGAGTGAGTAATCTCTCTTAGACTTTGAGTTTCTCCAGCTTTTTCAGATCTTTTCCCCTCCTTCTTCCACTGAGATCACTTTAGCTGTCTACTACCAGTGATGCTGCCAGACTCAGACTTTAACGTAGGGTTACTCAGTACAATGTATAACATACCTATACACCCTCATATGCTCCAGCCAGCCACTGCTTTATAAGGTCCACGTTGAACTGAAGGTCTAACACACACATAAGCATACACCCCTCCATTAGAGATATGCAGTCAATGTGACAGCCTTGTACAGAACAGCCTGCATCCCCTTCACCACAGCCTTGAGCTACCTTGATCCGCAGGGCAGGAACCTCCAGAACTGTCGCCTTCTGCACGGCCAGAATCTTCCCTGTTTCGTTGATTTGTGCCGTCACAAAGAAATGAAAGGAGGCTTGGTCCAGCAGGTCACTCATGTACTCACTTGCTTTGATCACAACATCAAAAGCACTAGCTGAGGGGAGAAACATGGAAGAAAAAGAGGTACTGAAGCAATCTAATGGCTGATTGCTCCTCCCATCATAGCCAGCGCCAGTTACACAAGTGCCTTGGAAAAAAGGTGGCCCATGCCCAAAGAATGGCTTTTTTTTTCCCCAAACTGTCTCCATTTCTTCACCTCACCATTCCCCCTCTTATCTTTCCCTCTTTCCATTTAGGCTGTGAGCTCCCTGGGTCAAAGCTGCGTTTGTGCACAGTCTCAGCTCAGTGCTGGTCAACATGGGTCCAGGCCACAGCTGAAGGTTTCTAGACACTCCCACAAAATAAGTGAGAAGCAAGACTGGCAATAAGTAGCTACTGGGCATGAAGGTCAAAACCAGCTTTTGAGTGTCATGCCTGCAAATATTTCCTCTTCCACTTTATTCCTGTGCTTTCTCTGCCTCTCTTTGTGGCAGAGATGCCACCAGGGACGCCTCAAGAGCAGCCAGTGGGGCTCACACTATGGGGTGTGAGCCCATGCAGGCTACCTGGGAGACAACCTGCTCTGAAGGACGTATCTGGATACCTGCCTTTGTCCTACAATGGACTTGCCTGCAAAATTTAGCAAGAAGGTCCTCCTGTCATCAGCATGCCCTCCAGAGAGCTTTCACGTGCTCCCTGACAATAATTATTGAAAGGAACACGTCCCCCTAGGCTTGATGGCTGAGATGCAGGGAATCATTAATTTTAACCATATTGAACTGCAATTCCCAGGCTAACAATGGTGTGAGAATGTGACGCAGAGAAGCAGACCTGCTAACTAAGTAACCACGCAGAACATATAGATCTGGTCCTCTTACCTTTATAAACATTCATTATAACTCTAGTAAACATATCAAGATCACTCATCTGTTAACTAGGATTATTACTGTTATCCATTATTTGTATTGTATTTGTGACATACACTGTACACACTGAGATAATTCAACTCAGTTGGGTAAATAACATTCACCCCTTTTCACTCTTTTGATCCATTCACATCAAAACTAGTTCCTTGATTTGGTTTCAAAGCTATTCCCTTGGTGATCACCTGACCTGGATTTACCAGGCCAGCCTTAAATTTACTTGATGTGCTCACCCTTCCTCCCTCTCTCCCTCCCTTTCACTCTGTGCCTCTTATAGAAGAGTTTCTCATAATGCTTTAAACTGTAAATTATCAATTGGGCAAGTATTTATCATTTGTGTAAAATAAGTAAATAAATAAACGATTTACAATAGAAGATAAATTTACAGTGAAAGGAAAGATGAACTTTGCTGTTTAATCACCAGAGGAAAAAAAAAAGAAAAAAAGAATAATGGACTTCTATTTCCTTAGCACTGCCTCTGCTAGTAAGATGCCACTACCATTTACTGCACCTGGGAAAGCCAAGGGAGACACAACACTGAGCTTCCTTACAGCCTTTACAAAAAACAGAGAAAACTAAATATAACCAAATGGATGTGAGAGCATCTTTGAAGGCACTGGAAGGTTTAAGCTATTCAAATCCTCAAAGATGTTTTCAACCCACACAATTCCTTTAATCATTATTCTGAAAATCATGCTTTTACTTCCTGTTTGAAAACTTGCTTCATTCTCTCAGCAGCATGGGCTGGAAGAATGCCTCTGACACATCTTTACTGTATTGTAATTTTTGTTACCTCCAGATATTCATATGCACTATCTGCCATGAATGAAGCCTGCAAATTCTGCTTCAGTGCCTCAATAGGTATCCTTCCATCACACCTCTGACACAGTATTCTCACACAGTTGCAAATGATCATGCTGCCTCCCTTCACACTGCCTGTCTGCTCAAACACTCTTTCTGACAGCACTCCTTTCCAAAGCAAAGGTGAAAGAATTCATGATCAAGTTTTATGTATCACCTTCAGAGATGCCACAACTTGTGAGGGTTTTTTGTCCTGTTGCAGGACAAAATGCTCCACAAGTTGGTAACTGTAGCTCAGATATAAGCTAATTTCCACCTTGAATGGTGGTAATACCTTAAAACATGCCTCCTTGGCCAGAAGCAGTGATGGGGACATACTTTTGGTACACATGCAATAAAATCCATGCTCTAGTCTCTCAGGTGCCTCCCTCTTAACCTGTATTCACTCACAATCAGAGTTTGCAGCATGGTTTCAATGAGCTTTTTACAAACCATTTACTTAACCTAGAAAAAATGGACTATGAGGTTCAGTGATGCTTAAACAACTATTCATTTAATTTCTTGCATTGAGGAGCTAGATGAGTCTCAAAGCTCTGCAGAAGCTGTGTTTTAGGTAATAATACCTTACACAGACCTTTGGTGCAATAGCAGACGTAAGTCTTGGAACCAAGCACAAATCACAGCCAAAAGTGTAGCAGTTATTTGCACATTTCTTACAAGATGACTGAATTTTCCCCCATCAAAGAAGAGGCACAGAATTTAGACTTGAGCATTTGAAACTGATTTTTTTTTTTTTTTTACTGTACCTAACCAAGTGTCCAAAAGTTTTGCAGTATTTCAGATCAAATACTTAGTAACTGATGGAAGACACTATAAAGCCCCACACTGTGTTTTGATTGACAGGCTGTGCTAGAACAACCCATTTCCAGACCCCCCACAAATGAGTCAGGGAGTTAGAAAGAACCATCAGGCAGTTGTCAGGGCTTTGTTATAGACCAGAGGTAGAATTCTTATTAACCTTCACCTATAGATCCCTCTAAGTGGAGTCCTGCTTTATGGAGATTAATCAGCTCCAGATAAAGATGTGCAGTTTTAAATGATGTTCAAAGGGAGGAAGAAAGCAGAGGATTTTTTTTTTCATGGCATGGTGGGAACTGTGGTTCCATGGGGGCTTGTCACTGATATAAAATTTGTTCTCTCTCAGAAGATAGGGCTCACAGTATCACTTGAGCTGGGATGAGACAGACAAGATGGATGAGAAAGCTCAGAGTTGCTGTGGTCCAGCACCAGACCCAGATCAAGAGTCCCGTCCTTTGGCCACCCAAAGTCCTGCCACTCCCATTGTGCTCAGTAGAGATTGCTTTTGACCAGTAGCAGCATCAGGAAGGCAAAATCATTGCTCCTGACTCTCTCAGTAGGAAACTCAAGTGGAGGACCCTCTGACTTAACCTCCATAAGGGCACATTCTCATCACTTTTGCTGAGCTGGAGACACTGACCCAAGATCAAGAGGCCTGTCAGGAGAACAAGTGATTGGCAGTCACTTGATGCTGGAGAAGCCAGAGATCTACAGCCAGTCTGCTCCATAGCGCTTTGGAGTAGAGCAGGTCCTCAACACTTGCTTACTGTTTTCTGAATGGGGCTGCCTTGGCTGCCATGAAATAGTTCAGTTATGCCCGAAATAAAAAAGGGCAACATCCTTCTTCATTACTTCGGGCAATGCAAAATCCTGCCCTCAGCAGTGTGAGTTAGGCTGCCAGGAACTGCTTTTCTCATGAGAAGAGGGAGGCAGGATCTTCTGGTCACAGTCCAGAGGGCACTAGGAAAAGCAAATGCTACGTCTATAAAATACTAACTCACCTTTGGGGTGCCTGCCCAACTGACAAATGCCCCTGCTCCAAAGTGGCACATTCTAGGTACACATAAACTTTTTAGATCACTGTAAATACAAAGTCCTGAACCACCCAGTCCTCCATAGCCCACTCAGAACTTGTCAGTTTCTACCAAGTAAGACAAGGTATTCACCTTTTTGTCCCTGTAAATGACACCCTGAAAAACTAGAACTTTTCTTTCACTTGCTGTGATACGGCTAGAAGACTAAATGTATGAAAAACAATACCTTGAAGCTTTATACCTGAGCAACTTTGTTTTCTTTTGTACTAAACAAGAAAAATCAACAGTTCCCAAACATGCATCTTGGTGTAAGAGAGCATTATGCAGGGAGCAACAGCTTTAAGAAAACAGCCTCAGCTTTAAATGACACTTGTAGCAGGGCCAGAGCTGAGAGTGGAGCTTCCTGACACCCAGTAGAGTATCCTACCCCTAGCTACTAGAATTGCCTCTACCCATGGGTGACAGGTAATGACATAGAGAAACAAAGCTAGCAATATCACAGAAAAAAAAGGTTTGAAAACATCTATGCAAGCCTTACACGAAGAGGGTTCCAGTTTTGCACTGAAAGAGTGTTTCTTGAATTCACTTTTTGCGACTCCTGTATAAAACACTATGTTGCCTGAAAGGTAGGCAGTAACAGTGTAGTAGTTGCGACTTCTGTTCCTGAAAGTTATAGTGACTTTAAAGTCACTGCCAAGGACTGCCTTTTGCACTTGGAAGTCCATGTCAACGTCTGTTTGTGGCTGATACCCATCTTGAGTACTTTGCTTTTTAACGCCATACATCACAGCAGTCTCAAGAGCCAGTCTCTCCTCCTCTGAGCCTAGAAATGAATGAAAATCAAATTTAGAAAAGAAACAGGGGTACTGCATTAGCCCAATTATCTATCACATGGGTGCATCTTCCAGTTTGTGGTAGCTGAAATGAATGGATGAGGACAGTGAACCTTCCTGTGGTAAAGTTAATAATAGGAGAACTTCACAGCTTCCAAGTGAGCTGTGTTAAAGATTCAAGCCATGTCAAATAAACTGATGTAGCTTAACTGATATTAGTGGGGCTACACTGATTTACTCTGTGCGAACACCTGGCCTGAGTAAGAAATGTCTAAACAGCTGTACAGAAAGCCTTGAACTGTTCTGAATGCTTTGAGTTATTCCATGTCTACCCTTTGTTTTCACTACAGCTTACTCGGTCCAAAGCATTTCTGAGTAGCAAAGTTTGTGCTTTCTCAAGGCATCTGCAGTGTTTATGGGATGAAGCTACAAATAAAGAGCTCCAAGGGCACCTTGGCAGCTTTATATGAAGCTCCCTCAGTGCCAGAGGTTTGTAAATACACCGTCCAGGATGTGATTTAGATAAATCTGCATTGGTATGATCCCACACCATTTCAGGTTACCTTCTTGGAACTTGTACTCCTCAGTAATCTCCATCATTCCATCACCCCCAACTTCCTTGGTCACAATCAACTGCCCAACATGGGTTGTGTCAATTTTTTCTATCATTTGGATTCCGTTTTTCTGCCTTCTTGAGAAAACAATATCACTATTCACCTGTAAAATTAAATGACAAAGGACAGAGATACGTGGAAGTAGAGAGAGGAAGGGAAGCCAGTCTATATCCCCTCAAAATAATGACACGTTCACTTAAGTCCCACTAAACACTTGTATTGAAGTCCCATGTTTAAAATTAGTCATATGCTATAATAATGACTAGATGCATTTTACTAGTCATAGCTCCAGAATAACTGACAGTATAAACTTGAGTAGGATACAGAGATACCCTTTGGGCTTGAGGAGCATGATTACATGAGACCGTAGAGCGGGGCATGCTTCATAGATAAAATATCTTATTCTTTTCTGTCCTAACCTATATACAATTCAATTAGAGAGAGACTTGCTCTGCAGCTGCTACAATTCTGAGAACACCAGCTCTGGTGGTGCAAGAGGTTAAAACTCCAGATCAGGCTGTCTTGCTCCTTATGGAGATATTTCCCTCTCAGTTCTGTCAGTCAAACCACCCATGTGAGCTCTCCTTGACCTATTGCAGCAAAAAAGAATGCTGTGAGCAGACTTCTTTAAAATTGTTGCATCCATTTTGACTGAAAAAACAAGGAAGCTTTAACATAAGCAGCTTTGCTGGCAAGCCTGAGAAGGAGGTGACAGCTAACAAGGGATGAAGATGAGCAGCTAGAGCTAGTGACTCATTTGCCAGCATAGCTGGAATCTGGGAAGGATAAATGACCACAGCCTGAAGTTTCATTAGAGCCAGAGAAGCGTTTCCTGCTTATTACATTGGTGAACAGAGATTAGAGAAATCTCTGTCGTTCATTAGAGCTGTATCACACATGCTGGCCTGCATGTCAAAATATAATGATGAATTTTTTCTTTGACATGGAGTATACATGAAGTAACTTCTCAAAGATATATTGCAGTGGAGCCCTATCTGCTGTCTCACCTATGGTCCCACTAATACCTCTCAATGTAGTGAAAATTTTAAAATCTGTACCTCAGCATAGACAAAAGGAGCATCAAATTGGAAGCAAACGTGACCATGTTTAATGGCTTGAACTGAGGCTGGGCCACACCTGTACATACCTACAGGAAGAAGAGAGATAAAGTAAGAGATCAATTAAAAACATGTCAAAATGTTATATTTTCTCAAAGAAAAAAGAATTCTTGTGGCTTGGTGAACTCTTTTAATAGTTTACAGGAACTGCTGACCAAGGAGTGAAAATTTTTCTTTCTTTTACCAGTCCTCTAAACAGCACAGACTCATGTCTGAAATGACCCAATGGTTCCATACCTTAATGGCACTGTAAAGTTCACGATAAGTCTCAAGTACTTGAAACGCAGATACAACTGGTTTTGATTTAAGCAGATAATTTTGGGAGGGCTCAGTTATACCACAGAATGAGAAAGGTCTCAATGCAATTTTGCTAAGAATGTCTTTAAAGAACTGGAAAATTAAGGACTAGGAAGAAATAACAGTGGCTTTTCACTTTTTCTCTCCTGTCTGCTCAGGAAGCTTAGTAAGGACTGCAGACATAAAATGGAGAATTAATTTGATCGTCTCTTGTATTGGTTCTCTAAAATTTTAGAAGGCATCTTTGGCAACAGAACTACATCTCTTCTATAGCAAGCAGGGCCTTTCTCATGAAGGATTTTGCGCATATGCATCATGAGCCATGTTATAACAGAAACAAATCTAATATTTTAGAGCTGAAATCAGAAGGTTGTGAGTACAGGTGAATGTGGCTGTCTGGTGCAAGAAGTTACCATTGGTTATATGGTGCCAGCTATCATCAGCTCATTGTTTGACACAAAGTATTGGAAAGACAGCTAAAGGGAAATTCAAGCAGTATTACCATCGCTGGTTTCTTGGGGTGTCCCATCAACAACCTGCCATCCTCCAAAACCAACAGGAAGATCAGGTCTGGTCATCCAAGCTTCATTCCAGCAATGATAGTTCCTTAGACAAGAGATGGGAGCGGAAGATTAAATTCTTGGAAAGAAGCATACAGACCAAACCAAAACTATCTATTTATGTCCTGACACTGCTTCAGTAATGACCTTTGCTGATTTAGGGATGAAAAATCTGACTCTTTTTAGAGAACGGATTTTTAGGTTAAAGAGTCAGGTGCTCGTCTGTTAAAACCTGAAGGCCACAATCTTTCACTGTAGTTTCTTTACTGCAAGTTGAAGAAGCCTTTAGATTCTTCTAACATGTTCTGAATGCTAATGTCTCAGATTGCTGGGGTATATGAAGATCTACGCAAACTACAATCTCTTTCCAACCAGACACCTGCACTTCAGTCTGCCTCCAAAAGCAAGCTTTGAATTTCCTCCTAGCCATTCTGAAGCTTTGGTGCCTCTTCTGAAGAGATTCCAGGATCAAATCCGTAATGTACAGTGTATAGATTTGTTTTTATGGCTCAAGACAAACATGCTTAACTGGTTTCCATCTTGGTTGAGAAAAGATCTTATAAGGCTTTACAAGACTATCCTCATTGTGGATTCCTTATAAGGTTTTTCCAGCATGGCATGCCAATGAGGGAGGTCAGATCTCCTAGACCATACAGCTTTCCAAAAACACACTTACAATCGCTGTAAGCCGAGTTTTGCCTTTAGGGCCCAGAACAGTATGCTGAAAGGTGAATTTCTGAGAGTAATTAATCTTGGCACTCAGAGTTGAAATGCCCTCACTTGGCAACATGCTTAGGAAAAGAAAAGCTAAAGACCCCAAAAATCCACTACAGCACCATCAGTGTGCCCAAAATGTTTCAAAGAGGAGTAGAAAAGAAAGATCTTGTAACTTCCTTCAGTGTTACTGGTGCTCAAGTGAGAGCACAAACAAGAAGAAACGTAAAACTAGGAAGAGGGTCTTGCAGTACAGACAAAACAGTGCTTGAATGCCATTACTGCAAAAAATGAAAAGGAAGGAGTAGAGAAAGGGGCAATTTTGCTTGCAAATTATACATATCCTACAGCAGATATGAATAAAATTACACCTGTATAGCTGCTTATACAGCCCCTAAAACATGCAATGATATTAGCAACCAAAATTGGGATTGTTAAACTCCGACCATTTCATTAATAATAGGTAAAAACCAGCCATGGAGCGGAGTCGGAAGGATCTGAGGCTTGTCTAACAAGACATTTCAAAGTGGAAATGAAAGCTTGGATCAGGGTAAAACTTGTCAGTTAGGAGAGTTAATGAAGCAGCACTACAGAAAAAGAAATTATTCAAGGAAAATGACACACTCAGAATTTTTGATGCTGCTGAGAGTAGTCAATGCTGAATCACGCTCACAGAGCTTTGCTGAGGGCTAACAGAGAATGGGGACAAACTTTGTGGTAGGTGGGGTTTTGAAAACTGTTATGCCAGCATGTGAGAGAGACAATCCCTGCCCTGAATCCTTCACTGGTTCACTTTGAATCAAAGTCAGATGTGTTACTGGCTTTGTGTTCTGTGAAAGAAGAACCAGAAGAGCAGGCAGGAGGGAAGGACAATAAAACCAAGGGGGGGATAACAGTGTGGAAAATGGCAGCTCTGCTTAAATACTGTAATTAGGTAATGCTTTTTTTTTTCTGTATTTTTCTATATTCATCCTAAGGGACAGGACATTTCTTACTGGTTTCTATGACGTAGTGCTGGGCACAAGAGGACAGCAATTTCTTTAGGTCTGCTGCTATGCAAATAACAAATACATGTAAGGATATTGAATGAAGACAGAGATAGATGTTGCTTCTAAACCACATGAGTATTAAGGAAAGGATGATGAAGGGAACATTTCCCTCTCCAGAATGTAGCAGAAACTTCTCTCCGGTAGAAGTGAGCACAGCTGAGGAGCTGGCTCTGCAGCCATAATTTGTTAAACTGATTCTATAGTTCTTGTATTCTACAGCAAGCCTGAGACATTAAAGAAAACAAGAATGGCTATACAGATCAATATGGTGACCATTAAATATTTACAGAGATAGTTACGAATAGACTAAACAAAGAGATGGGGAAATTAATAAAAGATGACCAGGTGGATTTTATGCCTGGAAGACAATTTAAGAAGGGTACTTAGTATTGCTTATGAGACAAGCACATGCTGGAAACAGCTGCTGCCCTTTCATTAGCTAATAAACTCAAGCATTGGGGTTGAGAGAGGCACTGATAACATTATTGAGAAATCAGAGAAAAGTGAGCTGAAGGCGAATGGGAGAGTAGAGGTCTCAGAAGGGCTTTCTCTGCAGGCCTGGACATAGATAGACCCCCATGGAGCTGGGTGACTTTGAGTATGTTTCTGCTGAGGTACTGATGTTGGTCTTCTTGGACCTCACAGTAGGAGTGAGTCTTGATTTCCATCCAAGAGAAATATTCTTTAAGTGTCTTTATATCATCATTAGGAAAGACAAGAAGAACAAAGTAAGAGGCAGTACTGATGGGCTCAAATCCGGCCAGCTTTATAAAAATAACTCTTTGTTATAAAAATAACAAAGTCTGTGTAATTTTGTATATATGTTTTGTTGTTGTCGTTGTTTCCTATCCTGAGGGAAAAGATGATCTTTAATAAAAAAAAATAAATGTCAGATAACATTCAGAGGGAGCCCTACATTCAGAGATTGATTGGACTAAAAATCCTGGCTCCAAGTATCCCTGAAGTCTGAGAGTATTTAAAACCTGAAGACAGATCAGCTCAAGCAATACAAGGCAATCAAAATGATATATAATAAAGAAAAAGAGCTCTGCTTCCAGTTTTCAGGAGATTATAAATAAAAGTGAGAAATACATTTAAAAAATCATTATAAACACCTTGAGCTTGTCCTCTTAAAAAAATAACAGAAAAGAAATAAAAGACACATTAAAAATAAAATCAAGGTTAAGACACAAGCCATTTAAAGTTGGCATATAGGCTATCATGGAGTGTTACAGAGTAATGAAGAGAAAGGACACAGAGGAGAAATGAAAAGAGGTGTGTAATATATTAAGTCATGCCCAAAGGGTTATGTGCACCATGTACTAATAAATGCACCAGAAGGATAAAAGGATGAACAAGGCAGTTCAAAAAGTAATCATACCAAGTGAAAGCAAATGCAGGATGGGAGATGAAATGCTAGTGTGAAGTTGCATATGGATTTCAGTGGAACAAGGATGATTTTGGATGATCTGCCCCTGTCCCAAAAGAATGGAAAAAAAGAGATTGAATTAAGAAGTCTTGGAAAACAGCTGGGAAAAGAAGAGGTATGGAAGTAAAAGGAAATGTCAAAAGTGGGTGAGAGATGTTTCATAGATGAAATTAGAAGGAAAGAAGGGATGAGATAGATAGTGAAATGTCTGAAGCATGGCAATAGTCCATTACTGAGTGTATATGGGCTGAGCAGTGAGATTGCCAGTCACTGGGTCTTATTTCACATCATTTATAGGCAGAGAGGTTTCTGAAGAGTGACTGCTCCTTTACATCTCTGTGACCCATAGAAGGACCAGCACCATGAGAGGTTCTGAGGTCCTGCTGTCACATAGATCAGATGCAGCTTAGCAAGCTGGGAATCCCCAAGGATCCTAAAAAAAGGAAACAAGGCAAATAGCAGGATTACAACCCTGGGCTTCAAGAGAGTAGGCTTTGGCCTGTTTAAGGTCCTGATTGGAAGAATCCCGTGGGAGACACTTCTGGATAGAAGATGGGTCCAGGACAGCTAGTTATTTTTCCAGGATCACCTCCTCCAAGCTTAAGAATGGTCCATTCCTATGTGCAGTAAATCAAATAAAAGTGGCACAAAGCCTGCATGGTGAACAAGGTGGTCCCAATTAAACTCAAACATTAAAAAAGAGTGCACAAGAGGTGGAGCTAGGGACAGGTGACCAGCAGGAATATAGAGACACTGTCTGAGCATGGAGGGACAGGTTTAGGAAAGCCAAACCCCAAATCAAATGGAGTACGTCAAAGGATGTGAAAAGCAGTGAGAAAGGCAAGCACATCAGTATCAAAAGGAAGACTATGGAAAATGTGGATCCGCTGCTGAATGGGGCAGGGGACCTGGTGACAAGAGACTAAGAAAAGGCCAAAGTATTCAGTGTCTTCTTTGCCTTGGTTTTTACTGCTAGGATTTACCCTCAGGAACAGCCCCTGAGACCAGCGTGGAAGTTTGGAGTAATGAAAAATTAACACCTGAAGCAGAGGAACAAATTCGAGACTATTTAAGCAAACCGGACGCACAGAGGTCCAATTAGATAGTCCCAAAAGTGCTGAGGGAGCTGGCCAATGCCATTGTAAGACTGCTCATATCTATCTATGAAAGGTCATGGTGACTGGGGGAGTTTCCTGGGGACTGGAAGAAAGCAAATATCACTCCTTTCTTCAAGAAAGAGAAGAGGGAGTGTCCAGGAAAATACAGACTTAGTAGCCTCACCTTGATCCCTGGGAAGGTTATAGAGCAATTTCCTCTGTGAAACATTTCCAAACATATTAAGGGCAAGGTGATTGGCAGTAGTCAGCATGAATTTACAAGGGACCAGCTGTGCCTGATCAGCCTGATAGCCTTTCTTGATGAAATGAATGACTGAGAGGACAAGGGGAGGCAAGGCATGGGGGTTGGTTTCTCTTTTGGCTTCAGCACCATCTCCCATAATGTCCTCATAGACAAGCCATCGAATTATAGACTAGCTAAGTGAATAGTAAGGCATATTGAAAACTGGCTGAACTGCTGGGATCAGAGGGTTGTGGTCAGTGGTGTTAACTTAGCTGGAACCTAGTCACTAGTTGTGTATCTCAGGAGTCGATGCTGGGTCTAATGCTGTTTAACTTCTCTATTAATGACCTGGATGTGAGACTTACTACACCCTTAACAAGTTTGCTACATAGAAAACTGGGAGGAGTAGATGATACACCAGAGACTGTCCACAAGGAGAGGCTAAGAAAGCTGGGACTGTTCAGCCTGCAGATGGGAAGGCTGAACAGGATTTTATCCATGTGTTTAAATGCTTGGTTAGGAAGTTAGGGAGGGGAGAAGACAGAGCCAGGCTCTTTTCAGCGACACCCAGTGACAGGACAATAAGCAATGGGCACAAACTGAAACAGAAAATTCTGTTTGAACATCAGGAAACACTTTTTTACTGTGAGAATGGTTGAGCACCAACACAAGTTTCCCAGAAAACCTGTGGAGTGTCCATCCTTTGAGATATTCAAAACCCAGCTGGACACAGCTCTGAGCAACCAGCTTTAGCTGACATGGCTTTGAGCAGGGGGGTAACATGACTTCCAGGGATACCTTCCAGTCTCAAATATTCTGTGATGCTGGGATATGAGCTTCAGATGTGAATGAACCTAACCGTTTTCCTTAGAGTCCCTCTTGATAATGGATTATGGAAACCACATAAAAGAGGTTACAGCATCAGGTTGAGACATTTTCACCACCACAGAATGGGTTACAATTTTAATCTAAAGACTTCCAGATATTAAGTTATTAATGAAACATGCTGATGAGTAGTTATGCTGATAAGTTGAAGACATCATTGACACAAATCAGGTATATGAACACTGACTACGACAAATATAGAGGTCACATTCACTGCTGCACTCTGAGGAGGAGAGAGTTGAGGCCCAATAGCCCACACATAATTTCTACGGAGCAGAGCATATAATCAATATATGCTACACTTCTCCTGTCAGACAGAAGACAGTAAGAATTTGAGGAGCAAGTTAGAGGACTGTCTTCTCCAAAAAAAATTACATAGACTCCATTTATTGTCCCTAGAGATTTTTCTTTTTATAAATCTGGTAGTGGCATTTCAGTAACTTGTATGATACCTTGGCTTGTTTTTTTTTCAGCTGAACTGTATTTATTTTGGGAAGTACCTATCTGCAGGAGCGACTGCATGTACACTGTGTAAAACTAGTCTACAAATACAGGAGCTGGGCAGAAGTAGAACTAGAAGGGCATTTTTCCATAGATAACTGTGATATCACTACAAGCCTGGCTCCAGACCCATGGAAGCGTCCATCCTACTCCTTTCAATTTTTAGAAATGGCCTGGCCCTAAGGAGCACAAACCCATTCCAGCTCTTCTGTGTGTTTAAAAGTGCACTGTATGGTAACATTAGTAGTGGGATCCCCTAGGGCTCATCTCTTTACATGACAAGCACTTCGTATTAGTCTACTCACAATCCCTTCATTCTGTTTTACAGAAGCGAGCTATGCTATTTAATGCACGGAGAAATAAACCGACCACAGGCATTGCTGTCATGATTTTTACAGCTTATACAGTTGACACATTGAAGGCATTTGTCAGGAGAACTCACCAGACAGAGTCTTTTGTCAGTTTGGTGTCCAGTTTCCCTTCTTCATCCAGAAAGAAGTCCAACTGTAAATTGGCATTGTTATCATGGGCAGAACTATAGTTGGTAATGAGTCTTGCAGGTATCCCCAGGCACCTTAGAACTGTGGCAATGAGAGAAGTGTGATGAGAAGGACAATATGAAGATTGTGCTCATGGATGACAGGATGAGAGGAGAGAAACTATTAATAACAAGAATAAAATGGGAAAACTTTATGAAATCAACCCAAATATTTCTTGCTATCTGTCTTCATATAGAATATGTTAAAAATTTTATTTGGTCCCAAAATTATGAACATTCGAGATACGCAATGGTGCAACGGTTATAACCTAAGCGGCTGATTATCAGTAGTTTTAGAACAGTCTTGCATAGTGACTACACTTTAGCTTTCCAGGGCAGACCTGGGTGCAATGGATCAACTGTGTGACCAAATGTGATACAAAGAAAAATAATTTTGAGCTTTCAAGAAACGGAAAACATATTATGTCTCCTAGTAACAGTAACCCAGAAGAATCATTAAACTGCACTAAAGAGAAAGCTAATAAAAAGCATATCATTTTGGTTAATTTAGAGTTTTCCAGTTTCACTTCTGCTGTCAGAAGGGGTCTGGAAAACACAAAGAAGAAAGCAGAAAATTATTTCTAATAAGGGACAAAGATGCAATATTTGCAAATGAAATGTCAGACATAGTTTGAACAAAATAGATTCTATTGATTGCTAAGTAACAGTATTTTGGGGTCAATAGTCTCTTCTCATAAATGATCTTAAAAGGAGGATCAAAAAAGAACCCCCCTCCTAAATCTCAGAACATCACAACGCAGTACTGGTGACACTTCCACCCATTTGACAATTGGTAAATTTGGGAAACATGGAAATGCTATGGCTATGTCTGAAGTGCAGTACTGCATCATTAGGCATCTGTGTTTGTGGTGCACCCTGGCTGATAAACAGGCATGGAGCATGGCCCCACGGGGGACTGAGGCTGCAGGATGACATAACATCTCAGCTTCTCCAGATGAAATATTTTGTCTCTCTGCCAAAAAATGCTCTTATTTTCCAATTTAGGAGCCAACATGGTTCTGCAGAAAACAGAGAGGAGGGTTTTGGGTTTTTTTTTGAACAGGAGAATATTTTTACTGAAAACCCTATTTAAAAATAGTTCTGATAAATGCAATGTTGAACAGCCCTTGCTCCTACTGCTGGGTTTTGTATATTCATTAGTGTCACTACTGTGACTCCCAATAAAGTGTAACGTTACACATTCATTTCAAGTTCCTGGATGACAAATTACCTAGGTGCATCCAATACCATATGTACCTATTGATTAAACTTAATTCAAGTGCCCTCCCAGACTTGCAGCACACAAGCCATCAGGGCTCATTGAAAATAATTTGTCTGACAATTTCAAGATTAATGACCATTTTTCAGAATGTTTTAGCATTTTTAATGGATGACTATCCAGAGTGTACAATATTGTAACCTTGGAAAGCTGGACTGGTCACAATGATAAAACGTTGGCAGCTAGGGAAGACTCAAAATCAGCTCAAATCAGCCCTGCGAGTTGCACATGGCTGTTTGGACCTTTACTGTCCTCTCTATGCATTGGTCAGCAGCTGGACATGTCGATGGCTAGCTATCAGATCAACCACTGGACAACATTTTCATTTTATAATGCTAAACAGACTTTATATTTCAGCAATCTTTGCAGCAGTCCGAAGTGCCATGTCTCTGACTTGACCAACTTAGTCAGCAAACTGAATCTAGTTTTTCCCCAAATAAATATGTCCCTCCATTTAACACAGTAGGCTCCAGGTTTCTGCTGTATTGCTCCAGTTTCACAGTGGCCTGCGGGCAAAATACTTTGTAGTGGTGATTCAGGGCCAGTGCAGAAGGAAGGAGAACTGGTGTATGTGTCTGTCTGTGATCTGGAAAAATCCTGATGAGGCAATGGGCAGAGAGCAAAAAAGGCCTGTGAAAGCCACTGCAAGGAACTGTATCCATAGGAAATGTTTGCAAGAGCCACAAACCCATTGTATTGTGCAGAGGCTCAGAAGCATCATGTACAGACTGTGCAAACTCAGGTAGTGAAGGAAATAGACAACTCTCAGATTCTTTGGATGATGATTGCTCATTATCCCACTGCATCTGGAATAAAACGAACCATTTCATGTGTCAAAGGACAGATCACCTGCCAGCACCTCCCCAGATCCAGAAGCCTCTCCAGATATATGCAAAGCATTTGACACTGTCCCACATGACATCCTTGTCTCTCAACTGAAGAGATGTGGACTGACAGATGGAGCACTTAGTGAAATTGGCTGGATAGTCACAATGAGTTGTAGTCAACAGCTTGGTGTCCAAGTGGAGACCGGTGACAAAGGGTGTTCCTCAGGGGTCAGTACTGGAACTGGCACTGTTTAACATCTTTGTCAGTGGCATGGACAGTGGGATTGAGTGTGCCCTCAGCAAGTTTGCTAATGACACCAAGCTTTGTGGGCAGGCCAACTCACTATGGGGAAGGGATGCTAACCAGAGGGACCTTGGCAGACTGGAGAGGTGGTCCACTGCCAATTACATGAAGTTCAATAAGGCCAATTGCAAGTTCCTGCACCTGAGTTGAGACAATCCCAAGCACAAATACAGGATGCATGGAGAATGGATTGAGAGCCATCCTGAGGAGAAAGACTTGGAGGTACTGGTTGATGAGAAACTCAACCTTTCCTATGAAGACAGACAGAGAGAGTTGGGGTTGTTCAGCCTGGAGAAAAGGAGGCTCTGCAGAGACCTTAAAGCAGACTTCCAGTACCAAAAGGGGGCCTATAAGAAAGCTAGAGAGGGACTTTTTGCAACACATGTAGGGATAGGACAAGGGGGATTGGCTTTAAACTGAAAGAGGGTAGGTTTAGATTATATATAAGGAAGAAGTTTTTCACTATGAGGGTGGTGAGGCACTGGCACAGGTTGCCCAGAGAAGCTGTGATTGCCCCATCCCTGGCAGTGCTCAAGGTCAGGTTGGATGGGGATTTGAGCAACCTGATTTAGTGGCAGATGTCCCTGCCCATGGCAGGGGAGTTGGAACTAGACGATATTTAAGGCCCCTTCCTGCCCAAACCATTCTATGACTCTATGAGAAGCACAGAAACCTGAAACTACATCCCCTACAGCAGCTGTGAGAAGCATGTGCTAGCAGAAGGCTAGGTGGACAGAAGACAGCTTTGTTTCTGAAGTCCTTGCTGTTTTGAATAGCTCTTGCACTACCTCAGGTAACCAAAATGAGCTATGAAATTCAATTATCCAGACTGTAGGAAAATTATATACAAAATGAAATACACATGTACAGAACAACCAAAAATAAAGTGAAAATCCAGAGATGTCCAGGGTTGCCTGACGGTGAAGAACCAGTCTTATAACTTGTCATTAATTATTCTATTTCCATGTTTGCTGCAGAAGATGAGTGATGAATATCCGTCACAGAAGTATAATATAAAGAGCAGTATAATGCCATTCCTTGAGACAGCAATATGTGACAGTATTGAGGCAGATGAAAAGGGGAAAGGGTTCACAGAGAGTTTTTCTGTAATTTCCTTTTCACAGCTTAAATATAAGGACTAATTCTTAGACCTTCAGCTGTGTCTGGAAAGTACTTGATGTAAAGTAGGCTCCAAGCCTGCAGAAACCCACCTTGTATTCCCTTGGTCCTAAGCTGATCTGGTCCCTCCCAGGTTGATACTTAAATGCATATGTTGATGGTGCTTATAAGGAAGATCAGCTGGGCATAAGAAAGACACTTTAAATATCTGTTCAGCTGTGGGCCAGCACTGTAAGCATAGGAACTGCTTGACTGGATCTACACTGGCACTTGACATAAGCACTGCTTTCAAAGTCTGGTTCCTATTATCTGTATAACACATTTTTTACACTCTCAGAGTTTTTCTTGACTGCTAATATGCTTGCAGTGTGTTCAAGTGTATTAGTAGATGATGCTGTTAGAAAGTGCTAGACAGTAAAAAATGGGACCAATCCAACACTGCTTTCCCTACTGGGTATTACAACCTGCAACACCCCGTTTGCTGCAACATTGGAACTCTAGTTTGAGCAAGTGTGGTTAGACTTGATCTTGTAGGGCTAGACAATTCATAAACCAGGCCAACATTTTCCATATTGTTCTGGCTCACAAACTCCATAGGAAAAGTTAACAGTGGCCAGTAGAGAGGTGCTGTTACACTGCATGTCAGTTTTTCTGGGAACCATCATCAGTAGGTGACGTTTGGCCATTTTGAAGCATAAACACTATATCCCTTATTGGGTAATATTTTCATGTTGCAGATCTAGATAAATAGCCCCCTGTTCATCTCAAATTTCCTAACTAACTTTCTCTCTCCCAAACTTACCCTTGTGAGTCACTGAACACATTTTACAGAACCAATAGTTAACAGATTTGTGTGGAAGAGCAGCCAAACTGAAGGAGATGCCAAAGGTTTATTTAAAACCATCTATTTTAGCCATATATTTTTTAAGTATCTCTGCTATTGACTCCTGAACATCACAGAGCCAGGAAGTATTTTAGTTAGTTTAACCAAAAAGCCCTCTCAGTTATGCAAGAATCACATAACAGTGTGGAGTTTTTCTCACTGATACCTACATGTATTGAAGACACCAGCAAAGACCCAGCACTGGCCATACCGCACAGGCTGCTTAGAACTGTAGTACTCCAAGAGAATATCCACACTTCCTGTCCAGGCTGAAGGTGCGACACCATAAGTGTATGTATTGTCCCAGGATCCAGCAATCACACCATTATCATCCCTGGAGTTGATCTAAGGACAAAGAAACAACCATTAGGGATGTCAGAGGCTGAATATAAAAGAGCTCTTTAACCCAACAGACAAAGATAGAATGGGAGAGATTGAATATAGCCAATTTTAGGCTCAAAGTAAGGTAGAAATGTTTAATTATGAAGGTATGAGATGAATAAAGCAATCTTGCTAAGGGCCATGGATTCTCCATCACTGAACAATTTTGAAAGAAGGTCAGAGACTTAAAAAAAATGGTGAAATTAAACAACCACACTGAGTATTCGTGTTGCCAGTTTAGTAAGTTTTATTAACATTAAACATGCTTACAGCTATGCATTTTTAATAAACATGATCAGTTATACACGGATAAGCAAGCCTCAGAAATATTAAGCTGGAAGCTTTCCTAACATTGTCTGGTTTTCTGTCCACATAAGCCCAGAGATTTTAATAAAATCACTCCTGATTTACAGCAGATCAAGAGGAGAATCAGTCCACTGTTATTTTTAGAGCAGAAACTAATTTCTTTGGTCTAGCACATGAAAACAAGAAGGAATTTGCTGTGTAAGTTTCCCCCTGGTAAGATTATACAGAGCAAAGAGTTTTGCTGACTAATGGCTATACTGATAGGCATTAACGAGCAATATATCTCCTAACTGCAATTTGAACTAAACCAGTTGAGGCTGTGCAAAAATCTCATTCGCTCTGTACCTTTTAATTATGCTAATGTGGAACAGCTAAACACCAGCCAAATAAATCACAATTCTCATTTAAAAGCTTTTGGCTGGATTAACTACTGTTTTATAATTAGAAAATCGACTTCCTGTGAACCGTAGGACCGAGTAAAGATAAGTATTCAGAGTCATAACCCAAGGGTTAAGGGATTGTGCCCATCTCACTGTTGTGGGAAACATGCCAAGAAAAGAGACACTTCAAGGGCAGGGCAGCGCCCTGATCTTCAGCTCTCCTCTGCCTGTAAAGAGAGGAAGAAGGGGGTGACTCTACCCACTCTGTAGTGTCAAAATGCCTCAGAAGGATTCCAGTGTGGGGGCACCTCCTCAGACAAGCTCAGCGCCAGCACATTTCAACTTGAGCAAGAGTGAGGGCAAGGACAACAGGTGGGACTTCAACACCTCTTGACCACTTCCTACCGAGGTCCAGATTTCAGGTGGCCAAAACTCCCACCCAGCTATGGCCTAATCCTGCAGATTTGATCCATTGAATCCTGTATTTCCAATGGTGAACACTCTGCCTCACTAAAATATTTGAGTGGCTCAAAACCTAAGCAATATTCAAGCCTTCTTTGGCTTCATAAATTCTGTGCTATTCTGCCCTTAGGGATTCCACAGTCCCTGTACAAGGGATTCTTTACTATCCCAGGAATGAGGGAACCACACTGAATTCTTACATCTATCTGAAGGTCTGAAGCCATATTTCTAATGTCTGAGGTGAAAGAGCTAACCAAAAGGTTAAAAGAGAAAGAGAAGTGGGGATGTTCACAATACTTCTTGCTGAAGCTATTCTGTTTCACATGTTGCTATGCAAGATTCAGCATGTGGCACTGAGAGGCTGGAGATCCCATTTCAATGTCATCTAAGACAAAGAGCTCATTCTCTTAAAGCCTGGGCAAATGCTGTAACAAGTGGGTTAAAGCATTATCTCAGACAGGATGGCAGCCATGTTTTGTGGACACATGTGCAGCTGTGGGTGTTTAGTGGCTGCCTTGGGAGAACACCTAACGACACTAGCTTGATAATTAGAGTATTATTCTGGGCAGAGGAAGTCCTCAGTTTAGACCTCTAGAAGCCAGAGTCAAGGACTCGTCCTCTTCCTTCCACATGCTGGATGAGTCTTCCATCTTGAACATAAGGGATGGGGCTGCTCTTGCAGCCACATGACTCCTGGTGCCTAGTAGCTGGAAAAAGTGGAGATATGGAAAGTCTTCTCCTTACTCTTTGCTTCTGGTTATTTTAGGTACTTCCATTCCAAGTGTTGTAAGTTTTGTGTACCTCACGTTTAAGAGGACAACTCTCACAGTGTTTTAATCTGGGGTCAAGGTAGCACACATAAATGTTCTTAGCTTAACTAGGCCATTTAGGGATCAAAAATCAGACACAGTAATGGTTGCAGTGTCTTAAGACCACATGGAGGTTACTGATAGAGTCCACATAAAGTATCTCAGCTCCCCATCCCAAATTCCGCCCATGCCTCCTTGCTGTCCATGGCAGAGTTTTCTCAATTATCTCAGCTAATGGAAAATGAGCACGTTGTCACAAGAAATACTATCATGCCTGGAATGCAATGTCTAGAAGTAGCTTTCTTGCCAGTGAGGTACAATTATTAGGAAAATGAGATGAACCAACATACGTATTTCACCTTTAGTAGAGTAAAATAGAAAGCCAGGCCCTAGAGGTCAGAATGGACAATTGATCTGACACCTGCTGGAGTAAGCACATCGGGGCATGAGGGCCAGCCAGTTCAATCAGCCTGGCTTTGATTTCTAGTATGAAACATCCCGACCTGTGGCAAGGGGGTTGGAACTAAATAATCTTAAGGTCTTTTCCAACCATAACTATTCTATGATTCTATGATATACAAGTAATTTCCGACGCGTATTAGGCATCCATTACATACCACTGCTGAAGCAACACGGCAGATTTTGATTGGGTTTCCACGCCCAGAGAGCTCCAGTTCTGCCTTGTCCATCAGGAACAGGCAAGCATCCAGAATGTTCTCTTCAAACTAGAGAAAAGAAAATAAAAAGGGAAAAATCTGGGAAAATTGAATCACTTTTTATTCTGGAAAGCAAAGACAAAGTTATATTTTACTGTTGTTATACTAGCTCATCAGCTTAGTCAAGTCAAAGTTCTGTGGTTAAAAATACAAGTTTTCTTCTAGAATAATCTCCCATGTATGGCAGGAAAAAAGGTGAGAGGCTGTGAGGGAAAAGAGAGTGTAATTTTCAATTCAATCTCAGTACAGTTTCCAGAAGGTTGAAATGACAACACAGCCTTTCTGACAGAACATAAAATTTTAAGTGCTAACAAGTATATAATAGGAAGATATTATAATAATAACTACAAGAAGCTGGTCGGCTCATGAAGGACTTCATGTCCTTCACAGATTCTAGACCTGTTCATTTCAGGACTTCTCAGACATAAGCAATGTAATGCTGGGAAGCTGAACAATAACTAGCTTGCCAAAGATAATTCGAAGACATATTTTTAAATTAGTTTTTAAATCTCTTTAAAATTAACAACCAAACACTGATTATATAGATTAATCCTGGACTACGAAATGTGGACATCAAAAAAAACAAGTAACCTAAAGTAGTCTTCTTCAAAAATAGAATGAAAAGGTACATTTTCTTTGATCCAGCATGAAAAAGCACAAGAATGAATTGAGGGCAGAGGTGCCTAAATAGACCAGAAACCATTTGTCCAGAACTTGCCCTGCAGTGTATTTCATTTTCCGGAGGGGAAACTGCATAGCAAAGGAAAATACCTCTCCCCTAGAAAATGGTAGGAGACAGGGAAATGCACATTAATGAAACAAGTATCTTCTAGATACACAACCTTATATTAGCATTCAATACAGTGACAGAAACTCCACAGAGTTCGTCCCCTTGCTGTGTTAGGTTTTACGTTCTATGCTTTCATCCTTAAAGATATGATTCCATCTAACAGGATTTTTGCTCTCGTGTTGCTACTAGAGCTGCATTGATTTTGCAGCTGTCTCCAGATGGGCTTAGGGCTCCTTGGCAGATAAGGGATATCTTAAGTTTTGCCTCCTGAAGAAAGTGAGCAAAAGCCCAGACCAAGCTGCTGCTTTGGCTGCCTTGGGAAAGGCAAAGGAGAGGATACCTGAGATGCTGGAAAGGAAGCCCAAAAGAGTTGAGACTGCTGCTGATGCTGCACGGAAGATGTGTGGGATGGCGGTGACATCACAGGCAGCAGCAAAGCTCTGGCATAAACCAAGAAAACAGAGGCACCACAATGTTTTACCACTCTCAGGTATTTCCTGGACAAGGAAAGTCCCTTTTTCTGCCTCTGTCTCACGCTTGCCTGGCTTTCATTGCTCAGGTTACCACCTCCATATGGATCCTTCTCAGCAAACAAGGCAACGCACCTCTCTCATCATCACCCACACTTGCACTGAATTACTTTCTCTGGAGTGGATGTTCACTAGTGAGTAACACCTTATAGTCTGAGCAAAACTGTACTAATGGTGTTTGGGCAAATAGGGAAAGAGAGATCAGTGTTTCCCAAGGACCTACTCCTAATATTGTATCATCCCTGAGAAGCTGTATAATTGCACAGTAGACTCTCCAGTCTTCTCCACTAGTACGTGATGTAAATATCTCAGGTAGAGAGATGATGTGCAGATGCTCCTTGCCATTACCCTCATAGCAGATAATGTAAACTCTGAACCCTCATAGCAATCCTTCTTGCTTCAAGTTCACTTCTCTTCTGGTCTGGCCCAATGATTTATCAGTTTCATTAGGATCAAAATCTGCTTTCTGCACTTCAAGTCATCAGCAGTGCCTAAGACCTCAGTTAAATTAATAAGAAGTTTACCCTGCAAATTAAATCTTTCTCATCTACAGTTTATGAGACACTGTCAATCTTGTCAGCATTTACAGAAAGAATAAAGAGAAAAGAAATTGCTATCAGGGTTGTTGCCTTCCACCTTAGCATTTATAAAATGACATGAATGCTTGTGAAATAACTGGATTAACAGCAGAAGAGATAGGAACAGCTGTAAAGTCTAGCTGCCTTACACTGTTGCAGTAGGATGCAGAGTAGCCTTAACTCTAAATCCAGTTTTGCTCTTCTTCACTATCCAGGGATTTGAAAATATTAAATCAAACTAAATCCTGCTCTCATTCTTGGTTTGAAAATGCTGTATAGAGACAAGTGGAATGGGAGCACAGCACTTGTGAGGCTGAACACTTCTGAAATGTCAGAGGAACTAGAGCAGCAGTAGGTAGCCAGGACAAGTGAGTGAACTTGGGCCAGGTGCAGGCACTGTCTGCTCAACACAAGTTGAAGCAGAAATAAACCAAATTCACGACCAAGGAACTTTGTCAAATCCACCTGGGAGAGACTGCAGATGAAAAACAAGGCATGAGAAAGCACATAGGCAAAAGGGTTCTGTTTACACACGGACATGCCTTGTGTTACAGAGCAATGTGCTTAGTTGGGCTGGCCTTCAGTGGGCATCCTCTTTCATGCTCAACTGTTTCTAACAGATGACATTCCATTGAAATCAAAGTCAAAAGGGCTGTTTGCACTAGTTGAGTTAGGGCTGTATTTCTCACAGTCAGTTGCAGGCATATGCAATCTCCTACTGATTATGGTCTGATCTGACCAAATGCACATGTCATGGAATTACATTTGCGCAGTGGGCCACAAAGCTAACGCAGCTCAACACGTGGACATGAGACAACTCATGATGGCAACAAGAATTCTGTGACCACCTGCCTAATTTTATTTTTCTCACCAAAAAAACCCAACATTAGATGAACAATACAGCACCCAGCTTCTGAGATTTCACAGCTAGAGAACTCCTATGTGCCTAGATTTCTTCCAAAGCAAAATTTCCCCTGAATTCCCTGTGGGCTTTTCTGAGTGACTGACTATGCTTTCTTAGAAGAAAGGAATCACAGTCATGTTACAAGGAACACCTCCATCCTCATTCATTAGAGCCTTGTTTCAATTGCTCTGTTGTTTTTATTCCTTGGTCCATATTTCTTGCCTTTCCTCCTCTCATGTTGATGCTGCTCATTAAATACAGCAGCTGTGAGAATAATCTCCCACTAGTAACCCAGTTTTGAACTGTATGTTCTTTTTTAATTTACAACCTGAGTTAAAGCTTCCAGTTGTCATTGGTCAAAGCAATTTTTTAGCCTGAGAATATTACCATGCCCGAGTCTATCTGTATTTTGTATATGACCCAGTACTTTTGCTCTCCATGACTGTATGTGGCCTTATGCTTTTACCTACACTGTTATAAAGGGCTATATATCATAAAGTGCATACTTGTGTGCTATATCCATAATATAGGCCATGCTGCTAGTATTTTTACTTGCTCACAGTAATGCTCTTATTCTTAACATCCAGGATTGCTGAAAATGAGGGAGATGCCTGGTTTTAATGCTTGGAAATTTTCAGGGTAAGATCAGAAATATCACATCATCCATCTCACTGAGAGTGAGGGAACCATACTTCTGCATGGCTGTGCAGTTTGAGATGTCTGTTACACCCATACAAAATGACTGATTCCATTAAAGCTCTTTGCTTGGCCCTCTTAGATGCATCTGCCACAGTTTTCACATGGGCAAGTGACAGCTAAGAGTGCACCACGGCACAGTGTGGAAATCAGGTCCTCCAACTTCAGACAACATAGGAATGAAAGTACATGGCAGAGGGCTATGGGACAGCCCTAACCTCACAGACAGAACTACCTCCTAGCAAAAACAAATAAATAATGCAGTTTCTCAAGGGAGGCTGGTGTTTATGTCAGGAAGCTGCCAGATTTTCAGAATATAAGCACTTCAGGCCTAGCCAGTATAGGCCGTTAATTTAGCATCTCAGGACATAAACCCAGCAGCTGGTTTAAGCAGCACTTTCCACCTGCAGACACTCATTCCCCTCCTTTCCCCTTACATCTGTCACAGAATGGATCCCAAATCCAGGAACAGAGCAAGCCCGAAAAATAACCCAGGGAAAAGAAAGTAAAACCAAACAACACAGCAACAAAAAACCCAAACCAAAACAAAAACCCCAAAACAGAAATCCAGAAGATGCTTTTCCAGCTAGATCAGATCTCCAGTCTGATTTCATGCCATGGCTGCTCAAGCACTTGCAGGGGGAAGGAAGGGCCAGGAGGGGGCATTTTTGGTCAACTTAAATGCACACCAGCTTTGGCCTCAGGATCTGGCTTCCCATCTCTTATATCAGAGGCACCATCAACTTATGGAATTCCTCCACATCAACACCTAATTTAAGGGTTATTTTTATCTCAGTCCGGATAACAGTCAGACCCCACAAACAACAGCACTGACACAACCAAGGAAATGGCTCAAAGGCAGGAACTCCCTAAGGCAGTGCTGCTGCAGGAAAAAAAAAGATGAAATTGTGCCCTTAAATAAGGAAACAAGAGAGATGTGAGTTCAAAGAGCTCTCCAGGGCAAGCACACTGGCAATCCATTTAGTTCGAGCTCTGAGATTGTCTTTAGCTGACGGAAAGAAAGCAAAGCAAGAAGGACCCTTCTGCAAGGTTGTGCCAGGGAGGTGCCATGAAAACTGAATGGATCTGTCACCAAAGCATTAAGGAAATACTTCAATACTTTCTTCATCGTGCTGTTGTGAAAATCCAGGAGGTGAGATGAGCAGAGTTTACCATATACAGGTGACAGCTAGAGTGAGTTTTGCTTGTTTTGATTCTGCACATTAATGCCTTTTGCCATTCTCACACAACAACTTAACTCTTTCATCCCATAGGGATTTTCAGGCTGGTTAGTGCTTTCAAACAGATTGAGGTAAAATAGTGAAGCAGTAAGTCTGATGTTATTGAAGGCACACCAATACTGCACAGCAGCCTGATAAGGAGTGTTTCCCTAGGCTGTAAGAGGTCACTGAAGACTGATGTTGTCAAGTCCAGGCAGCAAAGGAAGAGGTTTTCCTGCTTGGTTATTGTAGTGAGGAAATTTAAAACTCTGGGATTAAATCACAGTTTGTCATATGAACAAACTGACTGCCAAGAAGACCAGAATTATTTCTGCCAAATTGCTAAGGAAGAGTCAAAAAGCAGTACAACCTATTGCTAAAAATCAATCAATCAATAAATCAATCAATCAATCAATCAATCAATCTTTCTGCTCTTTCACCAAATCATTTTGATCCTGCAGCAGGAACAACTTAGCAGCAGAAATATTCCTGCATTCTGGAAATCTCAGCTAATGGTTATAACTTTGAACAAGCACTCTCTTAGTATCTGAAATATGCTCCTAAACCAAGATCTTTAAATATTAGCTCTTATAACACTGTTTTTCTGGATTAGGCAAATACCCACTTCATACAATTTTAAAATTATGCCCCTTGCCTTTCTGAAGCAGTGACCAATAATGCATTCCAGAGCGCACACTCGCGACCACAGTCTGAAGACAATTAAACTCACTTGCTGTCCTACTGGGAGCAGCCAGGGAAGGTCTAAATAGCTCACCTGACCGTAACTCCAGCTTCTTAATTTTATGTCGTTGATGTTTCCATGGAAAACAATACCAACATCATTCAGGACATATTCTTCCCTTTCCTTCTCATCATCCAGATACACGGCATCCTCTGCATCAGTTCACCGAAAAGAAATGTTAACACAGTTGCTTAGTTTTCATATAGGACAAATAAAACAGCATATAATACAGTCATCTTTGATAAAAAGCACCCCTCGTCCATCAAACAAAGCATTACTTGCTTCAACAGAGTACAAGAATAAGGAGGTTGTGACCCAGTCAGGAATATGATAGGCAACTTAAAAGCACGTAAAATGCAAAAATGCTGACAACTCCTGCCTGCTTTCTCAGGGTCTGTAAAGTATGATTAAAATGTCACATCTTATCAGGAATTTTATGATTATTGTGTACCACTAATTTAAAAGTTGGAGCCCCATGACGCAATTCTGCATCCACACAAACAGATCAAAGAACAATTTCAAACCTATTAATGTTAATGAAAAACAGCTCAAGTCAAGAGATCTAAAGAAAAATCTGTAGTGCACTAAGAAAATGGAATACAGTTTTTATAATGTATTAACAGAAGGGCTTGATTACTTTTTCTGTACGTAAGTTATTGACTGGAGTATCCCTCCCCCATGTAGCTCGGCTGACCAGCTAATATGGGGAGAAATTCAAGTGTCTACGTGAAAACTGCAAGTACTTGGAAGAGATCTTTATCAAAACATACAAAGGGTATATCCTAGATTGGTCTCATATCAGGAGTCAAGGACATATGCATGGGCCCTCATCCTGCAAACATGATTTGCAGAAGTAAATAACCTACTATTAGCGCTCATAAATAACCCCAAATGACATGAAACGTTCAGACATTCACAGGTATGAAGCAGGTTGTGATTCTGTGATGCTAGAATAGTTGAGGATTTCGTTACTCTACCAAATGTATTTTGAGACTAAGAGGTACAGCTTAACAATTAATAGTATGGGAATTAATTAATTTGAGGAAATCAGTAATGTGGTATCAGGTAGGAAATAAAAGGGAAGCAATAACTTCTGGTAGTTTGATATGGGCAAACTACCACTGACTACTGTAGATTTCTTCAGCATCCCACTACAAATTACTAGAGGATCATTTAACTTTTAAAAGCGTATTGATTTTTTGTATTTTGTTGAAATGTGAATCAGATTTGTACTTCCTTTTGAACCGCATCCTCACAAGCTTCTTCATTTGCCCACAAAACTGCAATTTGGCTGAAAAAGAAAGCTAAACTCCGAGCCTTTTGAAAAAATCAATGGCAGAATTTACACTGGCTTTGGCTACATGAACGGTTTTGCCAGTCTTCATACCTAATCCTGCTGGGAGTTTTGTTTTCTCTGAAGATATATATACAGGAGGGATTATGAATAGATATGTAACATAATGGCCTCCACATCAGTCTGCAATGAATGATACAGAAACAGGTGCTAGATACAAGACACCTTTATTGCATTTGAGGAGATCAGCATTCCTATTATGCTTTTGACAGGGCTGTTGTACAGCTTCTGCCAACCCCTTCCAAATCCAAGCAAACAGAGAAGCAGCAGGTTTTGTTGGGTTTTTCCTAAGGTGGAAATGTTTGAGACCCACTTTTGCATTTGGTGGAGTGTTGGTACTCACCAGGCTTCTAAGGGCTGGGCCATCAAGAAGTTTCCATGTAGGCTTGTCATTACCCCTGACCTAGTGAACCTTTACCCAAGGACAAAGTGGAAGGTCATGGGTTTATTGTATTTAAAGGGTATTAGGTGAAAGAAAGCATTAAAACTTGACAGTGAATCAAAAAGCTGCAGTCATTTATGCCAGCAAGGACTCTGATACTTACGAAACTGTATTTTTTAAGGGCCAGCTCCCAGCTCTGAACAAGTTCTGCATAACATCCCACTAAAAATGTTGCAGATGTTACAGATGATCTAGGCTACATTTCATCAGGCTGGATCTGCCTGATTTGCTGACTGAACAATTATGTGCATTCTCTCAGTGGGCTTTGAATTTTCTTAAGGCACATCCACACAAATGGTACAGAGAATGCATTTAAAGAAGGAGAACTCACACCTTCCTCTGTACAGTTCTGCATTCAGTGGAGTGTGTGCATATGCCTTCTTGACAGCTGTTGTTTTCTTTCAGGGATTAAAAATATCAATATTGATCTGGTTGGTATCAACTGAGATGCTTATGTTATTTTGAGACTGCCTGATCTTTGCTAGATCAGATGAAAATTGATTAACTTCTCTGTCAATTATTTTAAAATATTTGTGTTTTTTGATAAAGTAAAAAGTGCTTCTGTGTTTCCCAGAGAAGCCAGCTGCTTTGATTTTTGACAGCTTTCACTACCCTTGAGACTGTTTAGAACAAAATATGAGGCATCTGTGGCTACTTTGATGCTAAGCATGCTCTACATAGTACAACTCCTAATTATTTTGTGCAAGTGGAGGCTCACATCTGACAAACGGAAGAATTCCATGGAAATGTGCTGGGTTTGTTTGTTCTTCTTCTCTAGCAGTTTAAGGGTTTTTTTTTACTCGTTTCTTTCATCCTGGGAAATTACTAAGACACTAGCAATGCTACAAAGAAGCAAATTAGCCTCTATGCCTCTCTGTTTGAAGATGGATAAGGTGAAAATACACTTCACGCAAAGACAGTACTGCAGGAGAGGAATCCCACTGAATGCAGGCTCAAGTCTGAGGAATGCAGAACAGCCCTTTCCATTTGGGAACGTGAACAAGCATGAGAGGACTCTGGCCACTATGGGGGGACCCCATTCCCACTACAGCAACTGCCCGGAGCTGGAAATTCTATCTTGTAGCGCAAACAGTGACCACTGAGTACAGCAGCACCGCAGATGGGTGAAGGTGGCAATCTTGTCCTGAGTGAGTCCCTAGCCTCCGTTTAACACACTCCCATGGGAATTCAGGCATGCAAGAGTGGGCCTCACTGGAAGAGGACAGCACTGCGGCGAGCACAAAGCTTCAAGAGCTAAGTATGGTTATCTACAAAACCTACTCCACCCCCTGGACCAAGATCAGTTTGCTGCCTCGCAGCTGCTAGTGCTTGCGTGTATTATTACAACAGAAGGATGAAACTCTGTGCGCATTTTGCCCACCGAGAATCTATGATAAAAGAGATCAAATTTAGGATTTAGCTATAAATGCAAGAAAATGCTTTTGGGCCAAATTTGGATGACTGGTAACACTTATGAAGAGTCCAAAGTTAACTGCGTGTTACTAATCCTCAAACTGTATTAGAACATTTAAGCAGAAGAAATGTGTAACTGACTCAATAAAGTTGCAATACATTCAATTGCTTAAATAAAATACACTTTGCAGGAAGCTTGGGTGAATGAAATGCACACCTCATCTCTGAGAGTCGGCAGCTTGCTGAGATGCACTATGAATCTCCACCTGTGGGAGGGTGAGAGCCACACAAGTCAACGCAAGGTCTTGTCCTGATAAGCACCGAATGTTCCCTGGCAGAAAGTTGCTGGGAGTTAGCGCCTCCTTGGAAAGAGCTTACAAGTATCCTGATCAAAGGAGCCTTTCTCTGCTTTCATGCAGTCTGATACTGCTAAGAGTTAAGTTAAACTCCTGGAAGTTATCCTTAACTACTTTCCATTTGCATCGCGTTTCAGAACTGAAGAGGGCTGTACATGCCCAAAAGCAACCCCGATTTTCCCAAATATGTCAGCTGGCTGAAGAAAGGATGCTGCTTCTCCTCACAGGCTTTACTTTGCTCACTAAGCAATGCAAATTCCACCTGAGTATGTGAAATCTCAATCCATTAGCTTGCTGAATTCCCACATGTTTGGGCTGGTGCATGTCATTTGGCAGAATCAAGCCCTGCATCTGAATCTTTAAAGTATTCTTGGTGATCAGCCTTAAATGTAGCTAAGGGGATTAAAATATAAGAAAGCATCTGATGATTTTGGAAGTGAGGTACTCTGTAGCTTGACTGGTATTCAAACTTGTTCTGAAACAGCAGGAAAAACCCCACATCCCTGGCTGGGAAGATATGTCAGCGCTGAACTACAGTGAGAAAAGGAGCAATAAGAAAGGGCACAAATGCCTCTGTCTTAAAGAAAAGCTCATACTGACACATTGATGTTTCTCCAAAATGATGAGTTGGAAAGCTGAGCTAGACACTGACAGAGCCCATACTCTGCTGCTTGCTGTAACAATCCCCAATCCCCATTCATTCCTGGCATCAGCCTTCTCTCTTTTTAATGGGGCTTTTCACTCAGACTTTTCTGCTTAGCTATTAACCCAGCAAACAAGTCTAGGAGATTTTCAAACTATTGTTTTCTCTGTGCTTTAACTGCCTGAGTTTTTATACCCTTTTGTCATTCCACTGAACAATCTTTTCCAGCCAGGGGATAAAGCAAGCAAAGGCAGTCACTGGTTTTCTAACACAAGGAAAGGGGGAAAGGCAGATACAGGTGCCAATTAGCTCAAACTACCTAGGAGTCAAAGTAGGGGCAAGAAATGAGAATAAATCCAAATGAAACATGCAGCAAATGAAATCTGTAACAGTCAACAAGGGACAGGACCTGGAACCATCAAGGTACCTGAATATGTAAGCAAGTGATGAAAATGTGGTCCTCCAGGGGTGACACCGAGTTGCCTCTCATGGGTCGGGGCAACGGATGGCTGCTGCTGGTGGAGGAAACTGCTGCATGTCTTACTCCTTCTGGGTTGCTCATGCCATGGTTTTAATCTTGTTCACTTTTGGCCCGATTAGGCTCTGGTGTGAGGGAGGGAGGGAGGGCATAGGAGAGCATAGTGCCTAGCCAGGAACTGAAGTGGATTAGTCAGCACACAGGGCTGGTGGGGAAAAGGGTGTGTAGAAGGGATTGATTTTTCCCTTCACACCCCCTGACTAGTGCCTCTGATCAGCCTGTGTAGCCCCAGTCACACCACAGTGGGGTAGCCAAGCCTCCCACATCACATTTTTTCTCCACATTAAGGCTGCATGCCGCCCTAGCTTGTTGTATGCTAGTAATGAGGCAATTTAAGAAGCTTTTTTCTTTGGGGTTTATCCTTTTACAAGTAGAAGCTGTGTCATTGCAGAGTCACCATGCTGGCTAACAAACTGGCTGTTAGGACGCCCAAAACTAACACCAAGGATTGCTCTACCCTGGGGTGGAGAATTACACCTCCCTAGCTGGAGCTGTGAGAGGCTGGCAATGCCTTCACAAACCTTCAGTTTTGTCTGCTCACGGTAAGTCATAACTTCGCAATGCTTCCTCTCTTTTTGTTACACACTCTCCTGCCTCTCCCAGAACAAACTCTTAGCATGCTGCTATAAGGTACTTACCTCTGCACTGCTTTCAGAAGTATTTCATGGTGTCATGGGCCTTGTGCCCTGCCCTTCCCTTCTGTTCCCACTTAACTGACTCTGCTTTATGCAGCATTAACATGTATGTTCTTAAATAATGCATAAGCTAATCATTGCTTATATTCCCTTGGACCAAGGGCAAGTAATGAATTCAGCACAAATCATGCAATGTACTGACAGTAGTGCAGCTGAATAATGGGCTCTATTAATAATGCTAAACTTACTTGTCACTAGGTAGGATGGCCCTTGTTTGGTATGGGATTATTTGATGCAAATACTCTGGTAAAAGATTTAAAGATGAAGGGAGGATGGCAGGAAAATATTAAAGTTAGCTGCTGACCTCAATATACAGTAATATGTATGACTTGGGGCCTTACAAGTGTCAGAAGCTGAGACACAGTGCTACAGCCTGTCAGAAGGCTGAGCTGAGTGTTTCTGGTCCTCCATGCCCTCTCCTTAAAGCCACATGGAGTTTGGGTAAAATACAATCCTGTCAGTCTAAGGTCTGGTCTGGGGAGATTTAAAAATATAAATTTTTCTTCAGCCCACTGGGTAATAAAAAAAGGACTAATTTGCCAAACGTTTTGTTCTTCACAGAGGGCAAGGTTGCTGCTAATTAGTCACCAGTAAAGGGGATGTTAAAAGGGCAAATGTCATGTAGTGGCAGGAAGGCACCACAACCAGTGATGCCACAGCAGGTTCAATTCATGCAGGCTTTTGGCTGAAGATGTTCAGTCCTAACTGTGGTGGTCAGTGATGCAACTTGACAGATCCTGTCCCACACCAAATCCTCTTGGCAGAGTTACTATATAGTTTCCAGACCCAAACTGGCATTTCTCCAGTCTCCTTGGTACTAAGCTCTCCTTAGTGGACCACACTCTCCCCAAACCCCATGAGCCTGGCAGCAGAAAGAATGAACCTTTGACTTTGATAAGGTACTTACGCTGGCACCAGGGATTGAACAGGATGTAAGTGTCGGTTGCTGAGTTTCTTTGTGTCCGGATGATGCCAAAGGGAGTCCAGACAGCAACATACAAGCGAAACTTCCCAACGATGCAGGTGGCAGAGGACATGATGGACAGGCGAATGGAGTTGTTGTCTCTGTGGGTAATTTTGGCTCCCCACTCACCAGGTTTCAGCACATTACCTACTAGGATCGGGATGTAGGTGCCTTTGTTTTGCTGTGGGTAACGACCTGGAGAGAGAGGTGAAGAGGTTCTTAATTTCCTGGCAGTTCTCGGTCCCTCTGCTTTATTTTCAGCAGAGGTGGCAAGTTTTAGTGGGTGGAAACCACCCACCTCCCTCATTACTTTGCGCAGTGCTTGGTCACTTCGCTGTACAGCTGCACAAATACATGCAGCACCTCCCAGCAGGCAGCTCATGCAGCCACCCCCACCCATCATGCTCCAGCAAGCTTCAGTCTCGCTGGCTCAGGCACTGCCACGAGTGTAGCCCTGGCAGCATGAGTAGGGGCTGTCCCAGGCTTTCCTTACTCACCACTGTTTATCCTATTGCAGCAAGTTGCACTCAGCTTGCTCCTTGCCTTGGTGTCAGCTATGCTGCTGGTAAGCTTAAGTAAGAACCCCGTCCTCAGTTTAGATGCACCCACCACCCTCTTCACTAGCATGCAAGTGGCCACTGGGGCACAGACATCAACCCTGGGGCTCTTGAGCAGAGCCAAACCTTGTTCTCACTGCATTACTGTGATAAGAAGCAGAGACCAAGTGCTCTTTCATGCAAGTTCACATAGATAGATAAAGCCAAGTCAGTCCACCAACAGATACCCAATGCTAGTTCCTCCCAAGCATCCATTTCTCATGTACAGAGAGGGAACCAACTCTGGACACCGGTAGTATAGGTGACATCTGGCCTGGATAGTCAAACTTTGTCTGCAAGCAATGTGTCCCAAAGTATGACATACCTCCAAAGTACTTCACGTGATAGTCTACCTCATAGTAAGACAAGTAACACCCCAGAGAAGCCTATTTTACTCTGCCAACTATAAAAAACATCTAGACAGACAGGCTACATGTGAACATGTACACTGCCAGGATTCAAAGTTGTGTGAGGTTCCACCGTTTAAGCGTGAGGTAGAGCCAAACTGTATCTGGAAGCCAACCAGCAGTGTAGACAGAAAAGACACTTGTGAGAAGGCTGAGTTCCTTATCTCATTCTCAAATCTATTCTTCATTTCATATTTTAGGCTGAAAATCAGACTCTCATTCAAAAATAGGGTAATGAAACACAACGATGGCAGAGAGACAGACTTCTATATTTTTCATTCCTACTATTTAAGAACTTCAAAATTAAACTCACAAAGGCGTTGATATTCCTGCTTGCTTATTTTTATACAACTGATTTAAAGATAATCCCGAATCTGAACACTGATACATTCTGGGAAAGGACAACTCCAGCTTTGAATCTGAAGCTTATGAGCTGCCACAATATCTGTGAAATCTCGGGTTACTGTGCTTCATCTGAGAGATTATTCAGTGCATGTGAATTTCCCTTTTACAGATGTTCAGTTCACATAAATAGCTTGCTTTGCTCTGCTGGCCAGGGATGCTGTAACCCATGAAGCTCATTCAGATCCGCAAGGGATACAACAGAAGGCAAAGAGCTACAGAAAAAAAAGGAGTAGAATAAGAGCAAAATCAATAGAAAACACTAGAAGATAAAGCACTGGATGCTTCAAATATAAGCCATCAAAGAAAAGCCAGCCTAGAGAGAAGAGCCTATAGAGGTAGCAGAGATGAGAATCTTGCGCCTGCTAACAATTGCAATCTAAGAGCTGAACATATTCTTGTTCTTTGTAGTGCAACTGGGTATGACCCAGCTTGCCTCTATGGTTGATATTTTGCTTCTAGTTTTGACATAATTGTTTTTTTTTAAAAAGCAGTCCACTCAAACAAAGCCGCAGAGCAAACCATGTAATTGAACCGACATGCTTGAAAACCATTAACAAGTGCTACTTTTAAGAATACCTCCCTTATCTCCTTCAGAATGGTGGGAAGGGGCAGACATTTCTATTTTGACATGGTTAGGAACAGGCAGTGATATCTTCACTGGAAGCTGCATGTCTGTGTAGGAGCCTACAGGGGCAGAAGGAGCTGTGCTGTGGCGGGGGCTTTGCTCCACTATGTCATGTACATCACATGTACCAGTGAGGAGGCTGCAGAATCACTCCCCAGTAAAACCGTCTGTAGGAACAAGATAGGATCTGAGAGAGGCAATGAAGCCTTTGCAAAACATTCTTATGGAAACCCTGTCACTGACACCACATAGCAGGTTTGGCAAAGTACCAAGCCTCACTTTTCTGAAACCTCAACATGCAGAACTTCATTTGCTCTTTCAAACAAAGGTCCCTGTTGCATGCAAAGCAGCAAGACACCCTAATACACTTGTTTCTAGACAAGAGAGCAGAGGTAGCTGCTGCTGAGGAGTATGCAAGGTCCTTTCAGCCCAGAGCTTCTGCATGCCCCACACAGCTGCTCCCATGTAGTAAGGGAGAGCCACTGCACAGTCTTGCTCACTCGTGAGAAGGAGGTGCTCTGGGGTATTACCTGCACCCCTGCAGACATAGCAGGGATGCCAGAGAAAGGATATCCTAGAAGTCAGAATAATTTGCAGATGTTATAAACAGTAAATACAAGAGAACATTGCTTGCTTCTGACAGATGAGCAGGGTTTGGTGCTCCCTAATGTTCTCATAAATCCTGAATCCATAAGGGAGTCTGAGAAGACGGGCAGAGCCCTCAAGATCGCAGTGAGCAATTTCCAATGTTTTCTTTGAAAAGAGGACAGGTTCCCTAATTTTCTGAAACAAATACTGAATGGCAAATGGAAGAGCAAGTGAATTGTTACTTCTGACAGGAGCTTGTGGAGCTGAATTGTAATCACACATCTAGACACCTGACAGCATCAGCCACACTTGTATCATATACACACATCTGTTGTCTTGATACTAAAGTGCTATAAAACTGAGTAACTTTGGCATTACATGCTAAGGCTGCTGGCAAAAGAATCCTTATACAGGTTCAGTACTATGTTTATCAACATCATAAGGAAGTCCTCTTAGGACTCCATTTGACTTTTATCTACATCTTAAGCACACATTTCTGGCTGCAGTGGAGAAGTAGGGCCAACTTTGGCTCATAGCTGGGATATCTGTAATGTCAGCCCTTCCTCAGAATGGGTAGCATGCAGTGGTGATTTCATTCTCTGGGTTAGTTTCTAAGCAAGAATATTCAATGTTATCCAAAGACTTACTACTTAAGAGCTCAGGAATGTCTGGCAGAGCACTCTCTGCAGGGTCTCTGGTGCTATCCCAACCTATAGAGAGGCAGGAGGAATGTTTGGGTGCATGTCAGGACCAGGAGCCATGTAGACAAGATAAACCCTTTTTATGCTGATGGGAGGGCGCTTCTGCCAGCAGCATCAGTTGGCTCAGGATCTCTCCTACTCTGATTTGCTCCAGGAGTTGGCAGCCCGAAACACTCCACAGCCAGTTCTTTGTGGTTGCTTTACTGCCTGGTGTTCACGTGTGCTTTGGGTGTAGGAGGCCCTGGCCCTCAGATGAGGACATTTCACAGCCAATTGCTCTGTGAAAGAGAATTGCTATGTGACATCATGCTGTTGGGATGTTCCTGTCTGCTTTAACAGAACATGGAAATGGGAAAATCCAGCCTGAGAACTCAGAAAGCCTGGAGGGTGCTGCACTGTTACCACCAGGCAGAGAGTGAATTTTTTTACAGGCTCCCTTTGGAGATTAGAAGATATCAGGCACTGAATGGGGGCTGCTGACTGCCCTGCCTTCAAGGCAGGAGAGTACAGGAGAAAATCCAGTGACCCTCTTTCTTTATGGGCCTCCCATTCTCTGCTTTTCAATGCTAGATACTGAGCTGTGGTATCGCCAGAAGACACTGTATTTACAAAAACCTCCCTTGTACAGGAGGTTTAATGGCACAAACATATCTATTTCCACCGCTGCACAGTGCACAGGCCTGTTAACTTTTGGTGCTTCTTTCTTATCCTTTTTTATCTCCCACCTTGATTTCTGTAGCTGTCCAAGCTGGGCTGCCTAAAGTCCTGCTCAGTTCAGTTGCAGCTCAGCTCAGCAACTCCTGGGGTTTCCAGGCACCCAGGAAAAGAGGAGCTGTCTTTTAGTATAGCTGTTGTCATTATTAAAGGAGCTCAGGTCTCTCTCAGTGTTGCCTGACAAGGCCTTGAAAGCAAACAAATGAGAGTGAAGTTCTACATGGCAAAATGCACCATGGATTAGTCACATGTGGATGTGGGCATGTATGGGATGCTGCCACACACACACACTTTACAGTGGCAAAAAGCAGAGTGCAGTGTTTGTTAAAGCTTGCAGAAGCCCATTTATGCAGCAGCAAAAGAATGAGCCATCTGAAACACAGAACTGTGGCCACACACACATGCAAAGTGAGTTATTTTTAACATATGCCTTAGTTCCTTAGCATGTCAGCTCTGGGCCTGTCAGGCATGGAGGCAAGCTGTGTTTAATTCTGGGTTAAATTGCCACACCACAGAGATTTACAGCAACAGAGAGAGAGAGAGAGATAAGTACAGCAAGTTCAGCAAGAAAAACACAAGCGCTCCTCCTCCAGTTATCCAATTCTGCTGCTGTTCTTTATGAGTGACTAACAGGGACCAGGGCTTGCTCAGATGATACTCATCATTCTCCTTCCCTGCCCAGTACCTGGAAGCCCATATATCCACCTAGTTTAGGTTTCTCCTTGATCCCCAGTGAACATATACAATACCCTCTGTGTGTGTTAGGGCTGTGCTGTTAGCACAGCCAGTGTAAGCACCGACGGGTGCTCTTGTATAGGTCCATTTACTCACAAATGTGTAGGTGTTTTACTTTCATCAGGGAGGAGGGAAAATTTGGTAGGACTGAGATTGGAGATACAGTGAGGTTTAGAGACATTTCCCCCCTATGGAAGTAGGATGCTGCAGAAGACAGGAAGGTGAACAAAGCTATTTCTCCGTAGTCTTTTTAGGAACCCTCCTTAGAAGACTGCTCTTTTAAAGGAGTTGAGGAATCTATCTCCCTTTGGGACATACATTATACACAGTAAGATTAACAATTTTCCTCATAGGTTCATTCAGTTTACCTAGATACACTCTTTCACACAAAGGGTAAAGAACCTATTTCAATGCCAATCCTGGA